TTGGGTATTAAGATGAAAAACATCTCATGTAGAAAGAACGATTTCACCCTGTCCTTGAATAAAAGCTCTGCCTCCGACGAAGTATGCGGTCTTCCCTTCTGCACGTGCCTTCTGGACCTCTGGCCACAGCTTTCTCCTCCTCTCACGGTCTCCAGCTGAAAAGTCCTCCATGAAACGCAGACCATTCTCTTTCAGATATGAAGAATTCTTCGCGGCCTTCCAGACAGCGTCTCTGTAAGAGCGGACAGAAAACTGCATAATGGTCGCCCTGGATCTTCCCACGCCACCTTGTTGAATCTTCCCGAGACGATGAACTACGTCAATAACTTCTGGAAGCTTGTCCTTTGCACTGGGAAGCACTTTTTGACAGATCTTGACCACTTCAAGGCGGATGTCCTCGTGCGCTGATTCAGGGATCCCGCCAATTCTCAGATTACGCCTTCTCAAATATGTTTCCATGTCATCCATCCTTCGTTGCATCTGCACTACGGGCCGTTCAACATCATCCACACGTCGCTCAAGACTTGCAACCTTGTCAACAACAGCCTTCAATTCGGCGGACATGTCTAAAATCTTTTTTTCTATCCCATCAGAGCGGCTGTTGATCAGCTGCGTTATGCCCAACAGTTGCGACGAGACATCAGCTCGAGCGTCACTTGCCCTTTTCTTTATGATTGGCGATTCACTCGGGGTGATGGGCAAAGCTGGAAACTCCTCTTCAACTAAACTAAACATATCATCCTGAGACGCGACCACGTAATCATGGCCACCGCTGGCTAAGGAGCACGCATTATCATCAGGCGGTTTAGCAGCGACCGACGGGGGATTCACGTGACCACGTTTACGCCCCATATTAACACAGAATTGAGGAAAACTTAAAGTCAGAGTCGTACTAAATTATGAACAAAGTGTACAGATAACTAAAAGTTCTTTTTGCATTGTCTAACCACAGTTGGTGCAAGAGCTCGGACGAACACGTCTGATCAGGTCGCCATCTTGGACACCCCTCCTGTGTCCATATCTTTTACTGTCTATGTTCACAACTCTTGCGTTGCTCTCCGCCATTTTGAAAAGGTCAAAGGTTATCTCATCTCAGCAACTCGTGCATCAAAATATTCTACGAGCTGCCCAGTGGAAAATACCACATGAGGCGGTGTTCATGTGCATTTTCCACGTCGGCTTTTGGTATTTACCATAATTACCATAGCACTTGAACGCACCATTAGTCTCAGCCTATTTCAACCTTGTTCACTCACTGCCAAGTTTTGTATGTTGTTGCACTGCATTTCCGAGCGTTTCCCCTGGTTTCACGTCTCTTGGTTTTTGGATTTCTTGCATGTTCTGTGGATTACTCTTTTGCCTCTGACCCCTGCCTGATTTGTTTGTTTGTTTGGACTGCCTACTCTGTGTTTTGACCTATTGCCTGTTTATTGGATTACGTGTCTGGATTGCCCCTATTAAAGCTGCATTTGGATCTCAACCTTCGAGTCTCGAAGCAGATTGTGTGACAATAGAGGGAATGCATTAACGTCACTTCCCCGCCGGAACACGCCCCCCTCAGCGGGACTGAGTGGCAGAAGAGCTGCTGCGTGACTGGAGTTAATAGGGGAAACTGCGTTAACGCGACTAAAACAAACTATTATCAGTTTAAACTAAAAGTTGGACTCGATATAGTGTTCCTTACAACTTATCAAAGATCCAGTGATCCATGGATATTGACATGCTGCCAGGAATCGTGTTTCCTGACATTTATATGAGCCTGATTTCGACGCCGGGGAAATAAATGAAGACAATTTGCCTGTAAACGTTTTATATAAATACAATATAGATAGGTCTAAATCCGAGTGATCACTTACATTAATGTTATACTGTATATCATCATATCGTCCAGCCCTAAAACTTGTATAGTTTTTTGTCAGTGTTTATTTAAAAACATCCAATTATGCAGAATATAGTCTGTTCTGTAGCTTTTTGCAGTCTGTAAAAATATACAGTACCTCAGATTTCTGGTCAAATCTAGTTGTACAGTCAATCGCAAAGCTCTTTCCCGTTTTAGATGTGTTTTGTGTGATTTTCACGGCATTCACGCTGAAAACAAATGCTGCCGCTCAGTCTTTTTGCCACTTGTGGGCGTGACCGCATTCACTCCGGCCGACGGTGACGTCATGCGCATACCCTCTATTCTATAGTGTCATGCACACACTAGTAAAACATATCAAAAATTATATCGGGTGTCTGAATAATTTTTGGTTTGACTGTAGGCCTATACTTCTGCCTAATGGCAGTTTACATCGGGTTTCTCTTTTAATCCAAGCACATACTGTATTTCAATATGATGTAGTTAGTAGGCCTATAGCCAAATGTCCAGGAAAGCTGTTCTCATTTACACATTGCAGTCCAAAAAGTCTAAATAGCAACTGTTACGTAACATGTTGTGAAAAGCACGATGAGGACGGAGAATAGGAATAAACAGGATTTAATACAAAACTCAGGAGAACACTCACTTTAACACAGTATAACATTGACGAGAACGGACGAAGACTGAGGGAGAACACAGGGTTAATGCACGGGCAAACACAGGGAGCTGAGGGGTGAAGAACACACACCAGGCGAATGAAATGACGAATCAAACAGGACTAAACCACAAAGAAACACAATGAAGGGGGGAACACAGAACATACATGTTACAGCAACACTGTTTCAGAGCAAAAGAAGCTTTTTTTAATAAACAATCTGTGCAATTGTGTATGATTCTGATTTCATGTTAATATTTAAAAGAAGAGATGTGAAACGTTTTTTCTGTTGCTTGGAGTTCATATTTGCAAATAGTGTGTATAAAAGATTTTTTTCCCCCCAAGTAGTTTTTATTGTCGAGTCCTGTGTCACCAGTTAAAAAAATGAGTAAAGCCAGTCAATTAAATAGGTTTTTAATGACATCAGTGTCCTCCACCCTAACATCAGATTTACTAAAACATAATTCACATTAAGGCTGGCAGAAATCACACCCGCAGTCTCAGCTGTCAATCATTATAGGGCATATTCACACCGGAAGAAAATAAATATGACAAACAAGATAAATAGAAGCTGTGATGAAATATTTAAAGCATGCACACACACACACACACACACACACACACACACACTGATCGATGCATTGAATCGTCTGTCCTGAGACTGAAGACATGACTGAAGGCCACGTGTGCTGAACACACTCAATCACATTCATTACTGCTTTCTTCCCATTGCATATTTAAAACAGGGTTCCCACGACAACAGAAAACCTGCTATACTAATGCAATCGTCAAGTTTTAGAAATTAGTAGAAATCAATAGATTTTTTGAACCAGTTTAAATTGGTCTGAAATCGAGAAGAATCATTAAAAAATCCTTATCTAGTGATCATGAAAATGTATTGATCAAAGAACGAGGGAACCCTGCTGAAATAAATCAATTAATTTGCCATAAAACACACACACCCCCACACACACACACACACCTCATTGGAGATCAAACACACTGTACATCTTCTGTGACAATGTTGCATTCATGCATTTGGGAATGTTGCTTCTACTCATCGTCTCCTCTGAAACCTTAGTGTTTTACGCATTGTTATAAATTAATGGGGCAATTGTTATAAATTAATATACCATGTATAAATGGGGTGTAAATAAGGAATAGTTCATCCAAAAATAAAAAGGTCCTGATTATTTACCCACCCCTGGGTCATCCAAGATGTATATGACTTTCTTTCCTCGGCCAAAAAGAAATGAAGGATGTTTCTCCATGTAATGCAAGTGAATGGTGCTCAACGTCGACCATTTCTGACGGTCCAAACTTCATATTTAGGCAGCCGACTTTCTTCCCTAGCGAAAACACTGGTCATCTCAGGAAAAAATGATATACTTTTTGACTACAAATGCTCATCTTTGTCTAGTGTGTGTGTGTGTGTAAGGTCTGAACAGAAATCAACAGGCTAAAGAACACTTACACAAGGAGCGTTTGCCTGTGGTTTAAAAACACCATAAAAAAAACTAGCCAAACTAATATAAATATAAATTAAAAAGAAGAATAAAAAATTAGCAATCGCAACAAATAAATACAACTGAACAAAGATACGATTGAAATAGACAGTGTTTTAAGATTGTCAGGTATTCAGGTTCAGCAACTGAAATCACATGTAAAATAACTGCACTTTATAAATAAAATATACATTACAAATTTTGTTACAAAAGTTATTCAATCAAGAACGAGGGAATGTTCTCTTTGTCTTCTGTTGTTAGATTAGTGTTATAGTGACGGCAGCAGGGATATTTGTGCTGTCACTTTAAGAGCCGCACCGATCCAATATACTGATACACATACAGTTTAAAATCACATTAAAACCACTTTCTATTCGCACGCTTTGGGTGTACAGCACAGAAAACAGCGCGAGAATCGTCTCACGCCTGAATGGATTAAAGTCGTATTGAAATGCTCACAAAGGAATCGATAAGAGGAATGGAAATTAACATTTTATAACAAGTATCCGATTCCTGAACTTCCAAGTATTTTCAATTCCCGACCCTACGCGTGACGCAGGTGTTGGTGGGGTCGAGCGCGCGGCGCATGTGGCAAGAACCACCCCATTGTTTACAAGAGGAGTTTACATTTTTGGCAATAATATGAAACAAATGCTAACAATCTGCTTTTTTTAATGTGTGACTTTCCCAACATACAAAAGGTCATGCAAAAGGTCATGAACTCCAGCAACTCGTGGACGCGCTTCGCAGAGCTGGACTAAGGCGAACATTTGTAGTCAAAAAATGTATAGATATATATTTTGGTTTTGCTAGAGAAAGACCCTGGGGTCACGATTCGAAGCCTAAAGGTCCTTTGTCCTAAAGGCACACTGAGCCCGAAATTTTCGTATGTGTTTTTTCGTATTCGAGATTCGGTGGCTCTGAATTGCCAAAACACCATTCAAACTGCTTGCTGCGGATGTGAAAAACGCAGAAAATCTAACCTGATTTGATTTTTTTTATGACGGACGAAAGTTTCGGAGGCAGTGTGCAAGCGTGATAGACATAACGTGAGGTCGTATTTATTTTTTAACGTTCGGAAATTTCGGACTCAGTGTGCAAGGGCCTTAATGGTCGACGTTGAGCCCCATTCACTCACATTAGATCGTTTTCCTCCAAAACCTTCATTTCTCTTTGGCTGAGTAAAGAAAGTCATGAACATCTGGGATGGCCTTTAGGTGAGTAAATAATCAGGAAATGTTTATTATAGCCTGAACTATTCCTTTAATGTGGTGAGAGTGCCAATACGTCCATGCCAACATATGTACAGTCTTTCTCCCTGAACGGGTTGCACACGTCTCCATATCCCTTCGCTGACCGTGTGGCGTTTCATAAACACAGCAGCAGCTGAGCTGTTGAAACACAGTGTTGTAAAAGAGCTTTTCAGCAGCAGCGTCGTCATCATTACCCAGAAGCACGTCCTGACATGCATTCCTCGAGCCACGACTGATCCCGGAGCTTCACGTTCCCTGTGGACTCCCTCGATCATCAGCGTCCCTTCAGGATCCCGTCGAGCACGCGGTCTCCCTTCTCCGAGAGCCAGTATCCCGCCATCGCCGCCACGCCACCAATGAAGATAGCGGTGAACACCATGTCTCCTTTAGCGGCGAGAGTAGCGAGCGCACAGATCACCACACCGAAGAACATCTGCTGGAGGACGAGCACCTCGTCATCCGTCATGTCATCGAACAAACCCTTCTCTGGACCCGCTGAAAGACACACACAGAGCAGGTTATAGAGCGAGAACAGGTTATAGAGCGAGAACAGGTTATAGAGCGAGAGCAGGTTATAGAGCGTGAACAGGTTATAAAGCGAGAGCAGGAGCGGGTTATAGAGCGTGAACAGGTTATAGAGCGTGAACAGGTTATAGAGCGAGAGCAGGTTATAGAGCGTGAACAGGTTATAGAGCGTGAACAGGTTATAGAGCGAGAGCAGGTTATACAGCGAGAGCAGGTTATACAGCGAGAGCAGGTTATAGAGTGAGCAGGTTATAAAGCATGAACAGGTTATAGAGCGAAAGCAGGTTATAGAGAGCAGGTTATAGAGCATGAACAGGTTATAGAGCGAGAGCAGGTTATAGAGCATGAACAGGTTATAGAGCGAGAGCAGGTTATAGAGCGAGAGCAGGTTATACAGCGAGAGCAGGTTATAGAGTGAGAGCAGGTTATAAAGCATGAACAGGTTATAGAGCGAAAGCAGGTTATAGAGAGCAGGTTATAGAGCATGAACAGGTTATAGAGCGAGAGCAGGTTATAGAGCATGAACAGGTTATAGAGTGAGAGCAGGTTATAGAGAGCAGGTTATAGAGCGAGAGCAGGTTATAGAGTGAGAGCAGGTTATAGAGCGTGAACAGGTTATAGAGTGAGAGCAGGTCATAGAGCATGAACAGGTTATAGAGTGAGAGCAGGTTATAGAGCGAGAGCAGGTTATAGAGCATGAACAGGTTATAGAGTGAGAGCAGGTTACAGAGAGCAGGTTATAGAGCGAGAGCAGGTTATAGAGCGTGAACAGGTTATAGAGCATGAGCAGGTTATAGAGCGTGAACAGGTATAGAGTGAGAGCAGGTTATAGAGCGTGAACAGGTTATAGAGCGTGAGCAGGTTATAGAGCGTGAGCAGGTTATAGAGCGAGAGCAGGTTATAGAGCGTGAACAGGTTATAGAGCGTGAACAGGTTATAGAGTGAGAGCAGGTTATAGAGCATGAACAGGTTATAGAGCGAGAGCAGGTTATAGAGCGAGAGCAGGTTATAGAGTGAGAGCAGGTTATAGAGCGTGAGCAGGTTATAGAGTGAGAACAGGTTATAGAGCGAGAGCAGGTTATAGAGCGTGAGCAGGTTATAGAGCGAGAGCAGGTTATAGAGCGAGAGCAGGTTATAGAGCGTGAACAGGTTATAGAGCGTGAACAGGTTATAGAGTGAGAGCAGGTTATAGAGCATGAACAGGTTATAGAGCGAGAGCAGGTTATAGAGCGTGAACAGGTTATAGAGCGTGAGCAGGTTATAGAGTGAGAACAGGTTAAAGAGCGAGAGCAGGTTATAGAGCGTGAGCAGGTTATAGAGCGAGAGCAGGTTATAGAGCGAGAGCAGGTTATAGAGCGTGAACAGGTTATAGAGCGTGAACAGGTTATAGAGTGAGAGCAGGTTATAGAGCGTGAACAGGTTATAGAGCGTGAACAGGTTATAGAGTGAGAGCAGGTTATAGAGCATGAACAGGTTATAGAGCGAGAGCAGGTTATAGAGCGTGAACAGGTTATAGAGCGTGAACAGGTTATATAGTGAGAGCAGGTTATAGAGCATGAACAGGTTATAGAGCGAGAGCAGGTTATAGAGCATGAACAGGTTATAGAGCGAGAGCAGGTTATAGAGCGAGAGCAGGTTATTGAAAGAGAGCAGGTTATAGAGCGTGAACAGGTTATAGAGCGAGAGCAGGTTATAGAGCGTGAACAGGTTATAGAGTGAGAGTAGGTTATAGAGTGAGAGCAGGTTATAGAGCGTGAACAGGTTATAGAGCGAGAGCAGGTTATAGAGCGTGAACAGGTTATAGAGCGAGAGCAGGTTATAGAGCGTGAGAACAGGTTATAGAGTGAGAACAGGTTATAGAGCGAGAGCAGGTTATAGAGTGAGAACAGTGTGACGTGCCTCTAGGCCGTCCTACTGAGGTAATTAATGTTAAACACCTGCAGAGGGTTATAAAAGGTAATGGTTCTCTGACTTGGTGTGGCTTCGGTTACCCTCTGGTTTTTTGTTAGTTTGGGTTGTTGTTTTATTTGTTTGCTTTATGTATTAGTTTTAGTTTGGGAAGTTATGTTTACAGGCCTGTGTTATTGGAACGTGTTTATTGTGTTTGTGTTAATTACGTAGCTTATTCTTTATTGTGAATAAAATCTCTTTGACTGGCTTTTGTTCTCGTTGCCTCCCTCATCTCTGTACCCTTGATGTGTCTTATATCAAGATGATACCCTTGTAGAAAGATACACCATCTCATGAGTCGCTGGTTTGGGTTCTGCAAAGAATGAAGGAATGTTAGAGGATTGTGATCTGTAAAAACCACCAATGGCCCTCCCCCTGAACCCACATAAACCTCAAAATGGATAAGTGACCAAATTAGAGCTAATGCTTCTTTCTCAATAACGGAATAGTTAAGTTGATAAGCATTAAACTTTTTAGAGAAGTACCCCACCACACAGTCTACCCCATCTTCTGAGGTCTGCAGTAAAACAGCTCCAGCTCCCACATTACTAGCGTCAACTTGCAATTTAAAAGGTTTATCCAGTCTAGGTGCAACCAAAATTGGAGACACAGTGAGAAGAGACTTAACATCCTCAAATGCTCTCTGACACACAGAGGTCCACTCAAATTTGATTTTTGAGGTCTGCAGCCAAATCCTGAGTGGGGGTACGCTTCAGTGTTCTTCGGCAGTCCTGGTTATGGGATTGTTGAGGATTTGTCGCGGCTTAGAGCCGGCCGTGACAGATGAGGGAGGCAACGAGAACAAAAGCCAGTCAAAGAGATTTTATTCACAATAAAGAATAAGCTACGTAATTAACACAAACACAATAAACACGTTCCAATAACACAGGCCTGTAAACATAACTTCCCAAACTAAAACTAATACATAAAGCAAACAAATAAAACAACAACCCAAACTAACAAAAAACCAGAGGGTAACCGAAGCCACACCAAGTCAGAGAACCATTACCTTTTATAACCCTCTGCAGGTGTTTAACATTAATTACCTCAGTAGGACGGCCTAGAGGCACGTCACAACAGGTTATAGAGCGAGAGCAGGTTATAGAGCGAGAGCAGGTTATAGAGTGAGAACAGGTTATAGAGCGAGAGCAGGTTATAGACTGAGAACAGGTTATAGAGCGTGAGCAGGTTATAGAGCGAGAGCAGGTTATAGAGCGAGAGCAGGTTATAGAGCGTGAAAAGGTTATAGAGCGAGAGCAGGTTATAGAGCGAGAGCAGGTTATAGAGCGTGAACAGGTTATAGAGCGAGAGCAGGTTATAGAGCGAGAGCAGGTTATAGAGCATGAACAGGTTATAGAGTGAGAGCAGGTTATAGAGCGAGAGCAGGTTATAGAGTGAGAACAGGTTATAGAGCGAGAGCAGGTTATAGACTGAGAACAGGTTATAGAGCGTGAGCAGGTTATAGAGCGAGAGCAGGTTATAGAGCGAGAGCAGGTTATAGAGCGTGAACAGGTTATAGAGCGAGAGCAGGTTATAGAGCGAGAGCAGGTTATAGAGCGTGAACAGGTTATAGAGCGAGAGCAGGTTATAGAGCGAGAGCAGGTTATAGAGCATGAACAGGTTATAGAGTGAGAGCAGGTTATAGAGCGAGAGCAGGTTATAGAGCTAGAGCAGGTTATAGAGTGAGAGCAGGTTATAGAGCGTGAGCAGGTTATAGAGTGAGAGCAGGTTATAGAGCGAGAGCAGGTTATAGAGCGAGAGCAGGTTATAGAGCGTGAGCAGGTTATAGAGCATGAAACAGGTTAAAGAGCAAGAGCAGGTTATAGAGCATAAACAGGTTATAGAGCGAGAGCAGGTTATAGAGCGAGAGCAGGTTATAGAGGGTGAACAGGTTATAGAGCGAGAGCAGGTTATAGAGCGAGAGCAGGTTATAGAGCGAGAGCAGGTTATAGAGTGAGAGCAGGTTATAGAGCGTGAACAGGTTATAGAGCGAGAGCAGGTTATAGAGCGTGAGCAGGTTATAGAGCGTGAGCAGGTTATAGAGTGAGAGCAGGTTATAGAGCGTGAGCAGGTTATAGAGCATGAACAGGTTATAGAGCGAGAGCAGGTTATAGAGCATGAACAGGTTATAGAGTGAGAGCAGGTTATAGAGCATGAAAAGGTTATAGAGTGAGAGCAGGTTATAGAGCATGAACAGGTTATAGAGTGAGAGCAGGTTATAGAGCATGAACAGGTTATAGAGCGAGAGCAGGTTATAGAGCATGAACAGGTTATAGAGTGAGAGCAGGTTATAGAGCATGAACAGGTTATAGAGTGAGAGCAGGTTATAGAGCATGAACAGGTTATAGAGTGAGAGCAGGTTATAGAGCATGAACAGGTTATAGAGTGAGAGCAGGTTATAGAGCGAGAGCAGGTTATAGAGCGAGAGCAGGTTATAGAGTGAGAGCAGGTTATAGAGCGTGAGCAGGTTATAGAGTGAGAGCAGGTCATAGAGCGAGAGCAGGTTATAGAGCGAGAGCAGGTTATAGAGCGAGAGCAGGTTATAGAGCGTGAGCAGGTTATAGAGCATGAAACAGGTTATAGAGCAAGAGCAGGTTATAGAGCATAAACAGGTTATAGAGCGAGAGCAGGTTATAGAGCGAGAGCAGGTTATAGAGGGTGAACAGGTTATAGAGCGAGAGCAGGTTATAGAGCGAGAGCAGGTTATAGAGCGTGAACAGGTTATAGAGTGAGAGCAGGTTATAGAGCGTGAACAGGTTATAGAGCGAGAGCAGGTTATAGAGCGTGAGCAGGTTATAGAGCGTGAGCAGGTTATAGAGTGAGAGCAGGTTATAGAGCGTGAGCAGGTTATAGAGCATGAACAGGTTATAGAGCGAGAGCAGGTTATAGAGCATGAACAGGTTATAGAGTGAGAGCAGGTTATAGAGCATGAACAGGTTATAGAGTGAGAGCAGGTTATAGAGCATGAACAGGTTATAGAGTGAGAGCAGGTTATAGAGCATGAACAGGTTATAGAGCGAGAGCAGGTTATAGAGCATGAACAGGTTATAGAGTGAGAGCAGGTTATAGAGCGAGAGCAGGTTATAGAGTGAGAACAGGTTATAGAGCGAGAGCAGGTTATAGACTGAGAACAGGTTATAGAGCGTGAGCAGGTTATAGAGCGAGAGCAGGTTATAGAGCGAGAGCAGGTTATAGAGCGTGAACAGGTTATAGAGCGAGAGCAGGTTATAGAGCGAGAGCAGGTTATAGAGCGTGAACAGGTTATAGAGCGAGAGCAGGTTATAGAGCGAGAGCAGGTTATAGAGCATGAACAGGTTATAGAGTGAGAGCAGGTTATAGAGCGAGAGCAGGTTATAGAGCTAGAGCAGGTTATAGAGTGAGAGCAGGTTATAGAGCGTGAGCAGGTTATAGAGTGAGAGCAGGTTATAGAGCGAGAGCAGGTTATAGAGCGAGAGCAGGTTATAGAGCGTGAGCAGGTTATAGAGCATGAAACAGGTTAAAGAGCAAGAGCAGGTTATAGAGCATAAACAGGTTATAGAGCGAGAGCAGGTTATAGAGCGAGAGCAGGTTATAGAGGGTGAACAGGTTATAGAGCGAGAGCAGGTTATAGAGCGAGAGCAGGTTATAGAGCGAGAGCAGGTTATAGAGTGAGAGCAGGTTATAGAGCGTGAACAGGTTATAGAGCGAGAGCAGGTTATAGAGCGTGAGCAGGTTATAGAGCGTGAGCAGGTTATAGAGTGAGAGCAGGTTATAGAGCGTGAGCAGGTTATAGAGCATGAACAGGTTATAGAGCGAGAGCAGGTTATAGAGCATGAACAGGTTATAGAGTGAGAGCAGGTTATAGAGCATGAAAAGGTTATAGAGTGAGAGCAGGTTATAGAGCATGAACAGGTTATAGAGTGAGAGCAGGTTATAGAGCATGAACAGGTTATAGAGCGAGAGCAGGTTATAGAGCATGAACAGGTTATAGAGTGAGAGCAGGTTATAGAGCATGAACAGGTTATAGAGTGAGAGCAGGTTATAGAGCATGAACAGGTTATAGAGTGAGAGCAGGTTATAGAGCATGAACAGGTTATAGAGTGAGAGCAGGTTATAGAGCGAGAGCAGGTTATAGAGCGAGAGCAGGTTATAGAGTGAGAGCAGGTTATAGAGCGTGAGCAGGTTATAGAGTGAGAGCAGGTCATAGAGCGAGAGCAGGTTATAGAGCGAGAGCAGGTTATAGAGCGAGAGCAGGTTATAGAGCGTGAGCAGGTTATAGAGCATGAAACAGGTTATAGAGCAAGAGCAGGTTATAGAGCATAAACAGGTTATAGAGCGAGAGCAGGTTATAGAGCGAGAGCAGGTTATAGAGGGTGAACAGGTTATAGAGCGAGAGCAGGTTATAGAGCGAGAGCAGGTTATAGAGCGTGAACAGGTTATAGAGTGAGAGCAGGTTATAGAGCGTGAACAGGTTATAGAGCGAGAGCAGGTTATAGAGCGTGAGCAGGTTATAGAGCGTGAGCAGGTTATAGAGTGAGAGCAGGTTATAGAGCGTGAGCAGGTTATAGAGCATGAACAGGTTATAGAGCGAGAGCAGGTTATAGAGCATGAACAGGTTATAGAGTGAGAGCAGGTTATAGAGCATGAACAGGTTATAGAGTGAGAGCAGGTTATAGAGCATGAACAGGTTATAGAGTGAGAGCAGGTTATAGAGCATGAACAGGTTATAGAGCGAGAGCAGGTTATAGAGCATGAACAGGTTATAGAGTGAGAGCAGGTTATAGAGCATGAACAGGTTATAGAGTGAGAGCAGGTTATAGAGCATGAACAGGTTATAGAGTGAGAGCAGGTTATAGAGCATGAACAGGTTATAGAGTGAGAGCAGGTTATAGAGCATGAACAGGTTATAGAGTGAGAGCAGGTTATAGAGCATGAACAGGTTATAGAGCGAGAGCAGGTTATAGAGCGTGAGCAGGTTATAGAGCGAGAGCAGGTTATAGAGTGTGAAGAGGTTATAGAGTGAGAGCAGGTTATAGAGTAGCTTAGTTCCTTACACAGAATGTTTGTAAATGCAGTTTTCACTCCTGTTAATGACTGAACTGTGTGTGAGAACAGGATTAAGCACTAAAAGGGGAACTGCAGTGTGTACATGCCCAGACAGCAACATACTGTTGGCCCAGATCCGGCCCACATCTGGTACATGTGGATGCGACGTTACCAGATGTGGGCCGTATCTGGGCCGACACTAGGTAATTATAGGAACTTAGTTATAGGAACTAGCCACCAGGGTGGTTATCATGTTTATCTTGGTTCCCTTAAGATGATGATACACAGGGCAACTTTTTGAGCAATGTTGCTGGGCAATGTTGCCGTCAACGGGGAACCAGATGAGACACAGGGCCCACGACCGATTCAAATTATCCAGATAGAAATGCATTGCCCATTTTCAATGGGAAAGTGCCCAAGCAACAATCGTTCGGCAAGATTGCCCAGCAACATTGCTCAAAAAGTTGCCCTGTGTATCATCACCTTTAGAGTCGCGTTGGATTTTCTCCTGAGAGTAAAGGTTAAGAGCTCCATCTATCACTGTTTTCCATCTCCGTAGAGTTAGTTTCTGGAGTAAATATATAGGCTATAATCTGTGTTTACACAGCCTTTTTAAAAATGGCGGGTGCTGGTGTTTCACGTGCGTTCGGCCAATCAGCGCTCACTTACGTCACGGATAGTTCCTATAGTGCTGGTTTAGACCGACTCTGAAGTAGGAGCTAAATTAGTTCCTCCAAAAGAGTTCCTAGAACTAAAATCGTTCCTAGTTCCTGCTGTGCAAACACGGCAAAATCCGGGAAATTCCATCAATTCTAGGAGCTATGAAAACGTTCCTCCGGTGCGAAAGCCCCTAATGTCACTGTCTGGTGGCCTTTTAGTGTGCAGCAGAAAGACTCTGGGATTGAGTGTGTGTTGCACTCACTAGGTGGCAGATTCTCCACACAAATGCTTTCCCGTCGGATGAATCCCTCGGCACACTCGCAGCGGAACGAACCCTCCTCATTAACACACGCTTCATTGAGTCCAGGGCAGGCGATGGCTCTCTCCGCACACTCATCGATGTCTGACGAGAGATTTTCATCATCTGATCAAACATCATGTCAACAGAAGTATCGAATCTGAATACGCTTGGTAAAAGTCTTACCTAAACACTTTGCCCCAGTGATTCTGAAGCCTCGAGAGCATTTCTTACAGCGAGCCGGTCCGCTCCCCATGCAGCCCACACACGCCTGATCACAACCTACACACACTCGCGTCAGTGCACACGCAAACACACCCCGGTATCACTGAGTGTTAGTGTGAGACTGACCTCTGCATTCATAAGAGCCGTCTGTGTTGAAGCAGTACGTGTTCGAAGGACAGCGAGCCAACTCAGTGCCACACTCGTCCACATCTGAGGAAACACACACACATGCACACACCCACACACACTGATTGATGTGGTAAACTGATGACAGAAGGCAGAATGCAGCTCATATGGAAACATCTTGTTCAGCTGAAAATGATAATAAGATCATTATTTTCTAATACTCACCCTCATGTTAGTGGTGTGCAACATGCAATACTGACGAAAAAGATATTTATAATATCCAATATAATGAAACATATTTGCTTGAAGGAAACAGCTTTAATTTATATTAATGTTTGAACCATGTAGATAATGCACGGGTGTGTGGTGTATTTACTGAAGTGCTGTCAGGGACTTTTGTATTTATTTTAACTTTGTATATATATTTTTTTCTTTGTTGTTTTTGTGCAGAAAGCAAAATTACTTCAACTCCGTTCAAAGCACTTTGGGCACATATCCATACCTTGGCTCAAGGGCGACTTAAGAGTCACCTGGTCCAAACTCAAGACAGCAAGCGCTCACAGAGAGTGCTTGGAGGTCCCCTACTCACTTGACCGATGCTAAGGCTAGCAGTAGTGCAGTCTTCAGCGAGAGTGGCTTCAACTCGGCCGACGGCAGCGGCTCGAAAAGAGGCCCTTTGAGGGCCCTGAGGACCGTTGATAGGTCCCAGGAGGGTACTGTAGGGGGGCGTGGCGGGTTGACCCTCTATGCTGCCCTCAGGAAGCGAACAATCATGTCGCTTTTCCCTAACAACTGGCCGGCCACTGGGGCATGGAAAGCTGCAACAGCCGCCACGTGGACTTTGAGCATGGATGGGGTACGGCCCGCATTGAGTAGCTCTTGGAGAAATGAAAGTACCAGTGGTACTTCGCATATTGCAGGGTCCTGGTTCTGGGCTGAGCACCAGCTGGAGAACACAGACCACTTAAGGGCGTAGAGGCGTCTCGTGAACGGGGCTCTAGCCTCAAAAATGGTGCTTAGGACTCTCGCTGGGCCGGCCGTAAGCTCCAGTCGAGGGCCCATAGTTTGGGACGGGCAGCTGAATCAACTCTGGGAACCAAGGTTGGGTAGGGGCCACTAGAAGGACTATGTGTCTGCCTTCCCTGATCTTTTTGATGACATGAGGGAGGAGCGCGACTTGGGGAAAAGCATAAAGGAGGCGGCTGGGCAATTCGTGGAAGGAGGAAGGAGATCCTCTGACTGGGGAACAGTGAGCTCTTGGCTATGTTGATTTTGAGTCCCAGGCATTTCAAATGGCTGAGGAGCACAGATCTGTGGGAATTTAGTTCTGGGCCAGAACTAAATTCCCACAGATTCCCACACACCTTTATTTGACTGGGCCAGAACGAGCCAGTCGTCGAGGTATTTCAGGATGCGCATTCCCTTCTGTCTCAGGGGGGAAAGTGCTGCATCCATGCACTTCGTAAAAGTGCGTGGGGCCAGGGACAGTCCGAATGGTCGGACTGTATACTGGTAGGCCACCCCTTCGAATGGGAATCTCAAAAACGGTCTGTGATAAGGGGCTATTTGGATATGAAAGTATGCATCTTTCAGGTTCACAGAGAAAAACCAATCCCCCGGGCGTACTAGCGTGAGGATTTGTTTCAGGGTTAGCATCTTGAATAGCCGTTTCATAAGGGCCAGGTTCAGATGTATGAGATCTAGGATGGGTCTGAGGCCGCCATTCTTTTTGGGAACAAGTAGTGACTGTATAGGCCTGACTCGCTGTGGGGTGGAGGAACCGTTTCCACAGCCCCTTTTGCCAATAAGCTCATTACTTCGGTGCGGAGGACGTGAGCCACGTTGCTCTTTACCGAAGTGTCGACTATGCCCGCGAGCGGGGTGGATTGCGAGCGAATTTGAGTGAGTAACCTTGTTCTAACCTTGTCCCATGCTGTCGCTGTGCCTGTCCTCATAATGCAGAGGGGCTCTGCATGTGCAACGGCATTTGCATCAACGTTGCTTCTCTTTTAGATAAAAAGCGGAGAGTGACAGCTCGCTTCGCGTTGATCAGCTGGCTGGAGAGGGCGCTGTTCCACTGCTGGCTCTGCTTTCCTCAGCGAAGAAGGCTTTCTGAGTATTATGCGAAGTCCAAAGATCGTCGCTGAAGGAGATTAAATCTGAATCATATGGCGAAATGAGCTGCTTTTATAGGAAGATGCCCCGCCCCTTCTGGTGGGCTCTGCGCTCAGATCGGAGGGCTGTGCACCAATTGGTTTGCGCAGTTACGCTGCTCCGCCATTGGTTCGTGCAGTTCCCCCTGACCAGCCAATAGCGTACGAGGAGTCTCTGCACTGTTATGGCCGTGACTTTATAAATGGCTTCAGTAGTCAGAGAAAAAGGAGTTTCCCCGTCGCATCTGCAGACGCAATATGACTGACCGTTCGAAAGGGAACGTATTAGTGTGGAGAAGGCGTCAGACGTCTGAGGCTGTAGTGTGTAACTCACCCACACACTTGTTGCTGTGAAGGATCCACCCAGGCTTACAGTCCTGACATCTGTTGTCTTGGGGACCTCTGCACTTCTTACACGAATAATGGCAAGCTGCCACAAAAAAGACAGATCATACAATTAATCTCCTCATATATGAGTTGTGTTTTCTCCCGTCCCTCGAGAGCCTGGTCACCTGAGCAGGGCGGCTGTGTGTGATTGGAGCTCTTCTCCCGGTAATATCCATCGGCACAGTCCTGACACAGAGCGCCGGAGTATCCCGGGTCACACACACACTCTCCGTCTCCCAGACGAGTGCCTTCACCCTCACAGCGGCCCAGACCTCCACACACTCCTGCAGGGCCGGAGGGGCACTCTACACACACACACACGGGAACACACACACACATATACACGCACACGTACACACACGCACACACACACACACACACACACACACACAGAGCAGTTAGTATAAGAACAGGCTTCTCTATCGATATGTAACAAATCAAATACAGGCACAAGCATGAAGCATAACTGTATCTTTAGGAGTCAATATAAACCCAGACACTGTTTCTGTGGAAAATATGGGAAAGCTGATCAACCGTGTTGGAGCATCTGAGCAAATATTATATTAACTGAGTTGCCTAAGGCAGAGATACTCACATTACATAGCCTGGGGCCAATTTTTCAAGTCACATTTATTTCTATATCGCGTACAATACAGATGATTTCAGAGACTCTTTACAGTTATAAACAGGGAAAATAAGGGTTAATGTTGTAAAATTCATCGATTATGAAACAAATTCAGTTTTACCTATAAGCTCTACGAAGACAATAGTTATGTATACATCGTTTATGGAACTCTCTTTTTCCTGAAATATTTTGTGTGTGAGGGGGAGTGTGTGTGTGTGTGTGTGTGTGTGTGTGTGTGTGTGTGTGTGTGTGTGTGTGTGTCTGTGTGTGTGTGTGTGTGTGTGTGTGTGTGTATGTGTGTGTATGCGTGTGTGCGTGTGCGTGAGTGTGTGTGTGTTCACCTGCACATTCAGGCCCGTAGTGTCCAGACGGGCAGCACAGTCGGAGCTCCTCGATGCACAGCCATTCGAACAGGTCTGGAGATTCTTGCTGTCTGTAACCTCACACACACACACACACACACTTTCTCATAGACACTTTTTTCTACAAGCAGATCATTTACTCAATGCCTTCCATTATAATGACAGGGAAAAATTCTCCTAGGTTTGTTTCATTGAGTATTCAAACATCTTGCGTTCTTCACGCATAAACTCCAGAAATGCATCATGCAAGTGGTCTGGAACTGAAATCCATGAGTAAACAAGGTTTGAGTTAATCAGCCGAGAGTTTGGGCTTTATGTGACGGTAAGTTAACCCTGTTTTTCACAAACACACACACGCTCTCACCTGTGAAACCACCACGTCTCCACCTGGTCCTCGATCTGCTCCAGCAGCCGGTTGCATTCAAAGTCAGATTTGTCACAGGCCGCCTCTACGATCTCTAACAGACGCGTCTCACTGCACACACACACACAAACACACACAAGTTGAAGTCAATCTCTGTTCTGAAACAAGCACCCGTTACTCTTACAGCAGGATGAGAAACATCTTTACCTGCGTGTATATTTGGCCAGTTTCTCCTCTTCCCAAGCCGTATTCCCTCCTCCAAAATTCTTATTGGCTGTTCGCTCCAAACCCTGAAACAACAGTCATACACTTTATACGTCACACACACCTGGATGAAGCGCTCAGTGAGTTACAGTCAGATGACAGTGAGTGCAGTGCGTCACACACACCTGGATGAAGCGCTCAGTGAGTTACAGTCAGATGACAGTGAGTGCAGTGCGTCACACACACCTGGATGAAGCGCTCAGTGAGTTACAGTCAGATGATAGTGAGTGCAGTGCGTCACACACACCTGGATGAAGCGCTCAGTGAGTTACAGTCAGATGACAGTGAGTGCAGTGCGTCACACACACCTGGATGAAGCACTCAGTGAGTTACAGTCAGATGTCAGTGAGTGCGGTGCGTCACACACACCTGGATGAAGCGCTCAGTGAGTTACAGTCAGATGACAGTGAGTGCAGTGCGTCACACACACCTGGATGAAGCGCTCAGTGAGTTACAGTCAGATGATAGTGAGTGCAGTGCGTCACACACACCTGGATGAAGCGCTCAGTGAGTTACAGTCAGATGACAGTGAGTGCAGTGCGTCACACACACCTGGATGAAGCGCTCAGTGAGTTACAGTCAGATGACAGTGAGTGCAGTGCGTCACACACACCTAGATGAAGCGCTCAGTGAGTTACAGTCAGATGACAGTGAGTGCAGTGCTTCACACACACCTGGATGAAGCGCTCAGTGAGTTACAGTCAGATGACAGTGAGTGCAGTGCGTCACACACACCTGGATGAAGCGCTCAGTGAGTTACAGTCAGATGACAGTGAGTGCAGTGCGTCACACACATCTGTATGAAGCGCTCAGTGAGTTACAGTCAGATGACAGTGAGTGCAGTGCGTCACACACATCTGGATGAAGCGCTTAGTGAGTTACAGTCAGATGACAGTGAGTGCAGTGCGTCACACACACCTGGATGAAGCGCTCATTGAGTTACAGTCAGATGACAGTGAGTGCAGTGCGTCACACACATCTGGATGAAGCGCTCAGTGAGTTACTGTCAGATGACAGTGAGTGCAGTGCGTCACACACACCTAGATGAAGCGCTCAGTGAGTTACAGTGAGATGACAGTGAGTGCAGTGCGTCACACACACCTAGATGAAGCGCTCAGTGAGTTACAGTCAGATGTCAGTGAGTGCAGTGCGTCACACACACCTGGATGAAGCGCTCAGTGAGTTACAGTCAGATGTCAGTGAGTGCAGTGCGTCACACACACCTAGATGAAGCGCTCAGTGAGTTACAGTGAGATGACAGTGAGTGCAGTGCGTCACACACACCTAGATGAAGCGCTCAGTGAGTTACAGTCAGATGTCAGTGAGTGCAGTGCGTCACACACACCTGGATGAAGCGCTCAGTGAGTTACAGTCAGATGACAGTGAGTGCAGTGCGTCACACACATCTGGATGAAGCGCTCAGTGAGTTGCAGTCAGATGACAGTGAGTGCAGTGCGTCACACACACCTAGATGAAGCGCTCAGTGAGTTACAGTCAGATGTCAGTGAGTGCAGTGCGTCACACACACCTGGATGAAGCGCTCATTGAGTTACAGTCAGATGACAGTGAGTGCAGTGCGTCACACACATCTGGATGAAGCGCTCAGTGAGTTACAGTCAGATGACAGTGAGTGCAGTGCGTCACACACACCTGGATGAAGCGCTCAGTGAGTTACAGTCAGATGACAGTGAGTGCAGTGCGTCACACACACCTGGATGAAGCGCTCAGTGAGTTACAGTCAGATGACAGTGAGTGCAGTGCGTCACACACACCTGGATGAAGCGCTCAGTGAGTTACAGTCAGATGACAGTGAGTGCAGTGCGTCACACACACCTAGATGAAGCGCTCAGTGAGTTACAGTGAGATGACAGTGAGTGCAGTGCGTCACACACACCTAGATGAAGCGCTCAGTGAGTTACAGTGAGATGACAGTGAGTGCAGTGCGTCACACACACCTAGATGAAGCGCTCAGTGAGTTACAGTCAGATGTCAGTGAGTGCAGTGTGTCACACACACCTAGATGAAGCGCTCAGTGAGTTACAGTGAGATGACAGTGAGTGCAGTGCGTCACACACACCTAGATGAAGCGCTCAGTGAGTTACAGTGAGATGACAGTGAGTGCAGTGCGTCACACACACCTAGATGAAGCGCTCAGTGAGTTACAGTCAGATGTCAGTGAGTGCAGTGCGTCACACACACCTAGATGAAGCGCTCAGTGAGTTACAGTGAGATGACAGTGAGTGCAGTGCGTCACACACACCTAGATGAAGCGCTCAGTGAGTTACAGTGAGATGACAGTGAGTGCAGTGCGTCACACACACCTGGATGAAGCGCTCAGTGAGTTACAGTCAGATGACAGTGAGTGCAGTGCGTCACACACACCTAGATGAAGCGCTCAGTGAGTTACAGTCAGATGACAGTGAGTGCGGTGCGTCACACACACCTGGATGAAGCGCTCAGTGAGTTACAGTCAGATGTCAGTGAGTGCAGTGCGTCACACACACCTGGATGAAGCGCTCAGTGAGTTACAGTCAGATGACAGTGAGTGCAGTGCGTCACACACATCTGGATGAAGCGCTCAGTGAGTTGCAGTCAGATGACAGTGAGTGCAGTGCGTCACACACACCTAGATGAAGCGCTCAGTGAGTTACAGTCAGATGTCAGTGAGTGCAGTGCGTCACACACACCTGGATGAAGCGCTCAGTGAGTTACAGTCAGATGACAGTGAGTGCAGTGCGTCACACACACCTGGATGAAGCTCTCAGTGAGTTACAGTCAGATGACAGTGAGTGCAGTGCGTCACACACACCTGGATGAAGCGCTCAGTGAGTTACAGTCAGATGACAGTGAGTGCAGTGCGTCACACACATCTGGATGAAGCGCTCAGTGAGTTACAGTCAGATGACAGTGAGTGCAGTGCGTCACACACACCTGGATGAAGCGCTCAGTGAGTTACAGTCAGATGACAGTGAGTGCAGTGCGTCACACACACCTGGATGAAGCGCTCAGTGAGTTACAGTCAGATGACAGTGAGTGCAGTGCGTCACACACACCTGGATGAAGCGCTCAGTGAGTTACAGTCAGATGTCAGTAAGTGCGGTGCGTCACACACACCTGGATGAAGCGCTCAGTGAGTTACAGTCAGATGTCAGTGAGTGCGGTGCGTCACACACACCTGGATGAAGCACTCAGTGAGTTACAGTCAGATGTCAGTGAGTGCGGTGCGTCACACACACCTGGATGAAGCACTCAGTGAGTTACAGTCAGATGTCAGTGAGTGCGGTGCGTCACACACACCTGGATGAAGCACTCAGTGAGTTACAGTCAGATGTCAGTGAGTGCGGTGCGTCACACACACCTGGATGAAGCACTCAGTGAGTTACAGTCAGATGACAGTGAGTGCGGTGCGTCACACACACCTGGATGAAGCACTCAGTGAGTTACAGTCAGATGACAGTGAGTGCGGTGCGTCACACACACCTGGATGAAGCGCTCAGTGAGTTACAGTCAGATGTCAGTGAGTGCAGTGCGTCACACACATCTGGATGAAGCACTCAGTGAGTTACAGTCAGATGTCAGTGAGTGCGGTGCGTCACACACACCTGGATGAAGCGCTCAGTGAGTTACAGTCAGATGTCAGTGAGTGCAGTGCGTCACACACATCTGTATGAAGCGCTCAGTGAGTTACAGTCAGATGACAGTGAGTGCAGTGCGTCACACACACCTGGATGAAGCGCTCAGTGAGTTACAGTCAGATGACAGTGAGTGCAGTGCGTCACACACACCTGGATGAAGCGCTCAGTGAGTTACAGTCAGATGACAGTGAGTGCAGTGCGTCACACACACCTGGATGAAGCGCTCAGTGAGTTACAGTCAGATGTCAGTGAGTGCAGTGCGTCACACACACCTGGATGAAGCGCTCAGTGAGTTACAGTCAGATGTCAGTGAGTGCAGTGCGTCACACACACCTAGATGAAGCCCTCAGTGAGTTACAGTCAGATGTCAGTGAGTGCAGTGCGTCACACACACCTAGATGAAGCCCTCAGTGAGTTACAGTCAGATGTCAGTGAGTGCGGTGCGTCACACACACCTGGATGAAGCCCTCAGTAAGTTACAGTCAGATGACAGTGAGTGCAGTGCGTCACACACACCTAGATGAAGCGCTCAGTGAGTTACAGTCAGATGTCAGTGAGTGCAGTGCGTCACACACACCTGGATGAAGCGCTCAGTGAGTTACAGTCAGATGACAGCGAGTGCAGTGTGTCACACACACCTGGATGAAGCGCTCAGTGAGTTACAGTCAGATGACAGTGAGTGCAGTGCGTCACACACACCTGGATGAAGCGCTCAGTGAGTTACAGTCAGATGACAGCGAGTGCAGTGTGTCACACACACCTGGATGAAGCGCTCAGTGAGTTACAGTCAGATGACAGCGAGTGCAGTGTGTCACACACACCTGGATGAAGCGCTCAGTGAGTTACAGTCAGATGACAGTGAGTGCAGTGCGTCACACACATCTGTATGAAGTGCTCAGTGAGTTACAGTCAGATGTCAGTGAGTGCAGTGCGTCACACACACCTGGATGAAGCGCTCAGTGAGTTACAGTCAGATGACAGTGAGTGCAGTGCGTCACACACACCTGGATGAAGCGCTCAGTGAGTTACAGTCAGATGACAGTGAGTGCAGTGCGTCACACACACCTGGATGAAGCTCTCAGTGAGTTACAGTCAGATGACAGTGAGTGCAGTGCGTCACACACACCTGGATGAAGCGCTCAGTGAGTTACAGTCAGATGACAGTGAGTGCAGTGCGTCACACACACCTGGATGAAGCGCTCAGTGAGTTACAGTCAGATGACAGTGAGTGCAGTGCGTCACACACATCTGGATGAAGCGCTCAGTGAGTTACAGTCAGATGACAGTGAGTGCAGTGCGTCACACACACCTGGATGAAGCGCTCAGTGAGTTACAGTCAGATGTCAGTGAGTGCGGTGCGTCACACACACCTGGATGAAGCACTCAGTGAGTTACAGTCAGATGACAGTGAGTGCAGTGCGTCACACACATCTGGATGAAGCGCTCAGTGAGTTACAGTCAGATGACAGTGAGGGCAGTGCGTCACACACACCTGGATGAAGCGCTCAGTGAGTTACAGTCAGATGACAGTGAGTGCAGTGCGTCACACACACCTGGATGAAGCGCTCAGTGAGTTACAGTCAGATGTCAGTGAGTGCAGTGCGTCACACACACCTGGATGAAGCGCTCAGTGAGTTACAGTCAGATGACAGTGAGTGCAGTGCGTCACACACATCTGGATGAAGCGCTCAGTGAGTTACAGTCAGATGACAGTGAGTGCAGTGCGTCACACACACCTGGATGAAGCACTCAGTGAGTTACAGTCAGATGTCAGTGAGTGCGGTGCGTCACACACACCTGGATGAAGCACTCAGTGAGTTACAGTCAGATGACAGTGAGTGCAGTGCGTCACACACATCTGGATGAAGCGCTCAGTGAGTTACAGTCAGATGACAGTGAGGGCAGTGCGTCACACACACCTGGATGAAGCGCTCAGTGAGTTACAGTCAGATGACAGTGAGTGCAGTGCGTCACACACACCTGGATGAAGCGCTCAGTGAGTTACAGTCAGATGTCAGTGAGTGCAGTGCGTCACACACACCTGGATGAAGCCCTCAGTGAGTTACAGTCAGATGTCAGTGAGTGCAGTGCGTCACACACACCTAGATGAAGCCCTCAGTGAGTTACAGTCAGATGTCAGTGAGTGCGGTGCGTCACACACACCTGGATGAAGCCCTCAGTAAGTTACAGTCAGATGACAGTGAGTGCAGTGCGTCACACACACCTAGATGAAGCGCTCAGTGAGTTACAGTCAGATGTCAGTGAGTGCAGTGCGTCACACACACCTGGATGAAGCGCTCAGTGAGTTACAGTCAGATGACAGCGAGTGCAGTGTGTCACACACACCTGGATGAAGCGCTCAGTGAGTTACAGTCAGATGTCAGTGAGTGCAGTGCGTCACACACACCTGGATGAAGCGCTCAGTGAGTTACAGTCAGATGACAGCGAGTGCAGTGTGTCACACACACCTGGATGAAGCGCTCAGTGAGTTACAGTCAGATGTCAGTGAGTGCAGTGCGTCACACACACCTGGATGAAGCCCTCAGTGAGTTACAGTCAGATGACAGTGAGTGCAGTGCGTCACACACACCTAGATGAAGCGCTCAGTGAGTTACAGTCAGATGTCAGTGAGTGCAGTGCGTCACACACACCTGGATGAAGCGCTCAGTGAGTTACAGTCAGATGACAGCGAGTGCAGTGTGTCACACACACCTGGATGAAGCGCTCAGTGAGTTACAGTCAGATGACAGCGAGTGCAGTGTGTCACACACACCTGGATGAAGCGCTCCGTGAGTTACAGTCAGATGACAGTGAGTGCAGTGCGTCACACACATCTGTATGAAGTGCTCAGTGAGTTACAGTCAGATGTCAGTGAGTGCAGTGCGTCACACACACCTGGATGAAGCGCTCAGTGAGTTACAGTCAGATGACAGTGAGTGCAGTGCGTCACACACACCTGGATGAAGCGCTCAGTGAGTTACAGTCAGATGACAGTGAGTGCAGTGCGTCACACACACCTGGATGAAGCGCTCAGTGAGTTACAGTCAGATGACAGTGAGTGCAGTGCGTCACACACATCTGTATGAAGCGCTCAGTGAGTTACAGTCAGATGACAGTGAGTGCAGTGCGTCACACACATCTGGATGAAGCGCTCAGTGAGTTACAGTCAGATGACAGTGAGTGCAGTGCGTCACACACACCTGGATGAAGCGCTCAGTGAGTTACAGTCAGATGACAGTGAGTGCAGTGCGTCACACACACCTGGATGAAGCGCTCAGTGAGTTACAGTCAGATGACAGTGAGTGCAGTGCGTCACACACACCTGGATGAAGCGCTCAGTGAGTTACAGTCAGATGACAGTGAGTGCAGTGCGTCACACACACCTGGATGAAGCGCTCATTGAGTTACAGTCAGATGACAGTGAGTGCAGTGCGTCACACACATCTGGATGAAGCGCTCAGTGAGTTACTGTCAGATGACAGTGAGTGCAGTGCGTCACACACACCTAGATGAAGCGCTCAGTGAGTTACAGTGAGATGACAGTGAGTGCAGTGCGTCACACACACCTGGATGAAGCGCTCAGTGAGTTGCAGTCAGATGACAGTGAGTGCAGTGCGTCACACACACCTGGATGAAGCGCTCAGTGAGTTACAGTCAGATGACAGTGAGTGCAGTGCGTCACACACACCTGGATGAAGCGCTCAGTGAGTTACAGTCAGATGACAGTGAGTGCAGTGCGTCACACACACCTGGATGAAGCGCTCAGTGAGTTACAGTCAGATGTCAGTGAGTGCGGTGCGTCACACACACCTGGATGAAGCACTCAGTGAGTTACAGTCAGATGTCAGTGAGTGCGGTGCGTCACACACACCTGGATGAAGCACTCAGTGAGTTACAGTCAGATGACAGTGAGTGCAGTGCGTCACACACATCTGGATGAAGCGCTCAGTGAGTTACAGTCAGATGTCAGTGAGTGCAGTGCGTCACACACATCTGGATGAAGCACTCAGTGAGTTACAGTCAGATGTCAGTGAGTGCGGTGCGTCACACACACCTGGATGAAGCGCTCAGTGAGTTACAGTCAGATGTCAGTGAGTGCAGTGCGTCACACACACCTGGATGAAGCGCTCAGTGAGTTACAGTGAGATGTCAGTGAGTGCAGTGCGTCACACACACCTGGATGAAGCGCTCAGTGAGTTACAGTCAGATGACAGTGAGTGCAGTGCGTCACACACACCTGGATGAAGCGCTCAGTGAGTTACAGTCAGATGACAGTGAGTGCAGTGCGTCACACACACCTGGATGAAGCGCTCAGTGAGTTACAGTCAGATGACAGTGAGTGCAGTGCCTCACACACACCTGGATGAAGCGCTCAGTGAGTTACAGTCAGATGTCAGTGAGTGCAGTGCGTCACACACACCTAGATGAAGCCCTCAGTGAGTTACAGTCAGATGTCAGTGAGTGCAGTGCGTCACACACACCTAGATGAAGCCCTCAGTGAGTTACAGTCAGATGACAGTGAGTGCAGTGCGTCACACACACCTAGATGAAGCCCTCAGTGAGTTACAGTCAGATGTCAGTGAGTGCAGTGCGTCACACACACCTGGATGAAGCCCTCAGTGAGTTACAGTCAGATGTCAGTGAGTGCAGTGCGTCACACACACCTAGATGAAGCGCTCAGTGAGTTACAGTCAGATGTCAGTGACTGCAGTGCGTCACACACACCTAGATGAAGCCCTCAGTGAGTTACAGTCAGATGACAGTGACTGCAGTGCATCACACACACCTGGATGAAGCGCTCAGTGAGTTTGCGGCAGGTCTGACATGGAGCGGTTCTCACGGTCCCCACCGACAGCAGAGAGCAGAGCACCAGCACTGACACCAGGGGCCAGGACCACCACATCCCGACCTGCACACACACACACACACACACACTGCTGCATTACATAAGCTCATGGGGAAAAGCATATCTTCAAGGGCTTTATGGAAGCTGGTGTTCAGAATCATTCACGTCATGGTGGGATGGTAAGAGTTTGTCATGGTACTTTGTTTTAATGTTTTGCACACAAGGGTTCCAGCTCCTTCATGACGTTTCCAGTAGTGTGTGTTTACTGGATAAGGACTTTTATTATTATGCCCCTTTTTACCAGATGTAATAAGTCTCAGGTGTCCCCAGAATGTGTCTGTGAAGCTTCAGCTCAAATTCTCTCCCAGATCATTTGTAACACCATGTAAATGCCCATTTTTGAGTGGAAGCAAAAACATGCTGTTTTTGTGAATGTATCTTTACATGCAAATGAGCTTCTGCTCCGCCCCCTATCAAGAAGAGGGCGGAGCCTTTACAGCTCATGCCTTGGATAATCTGCCAAAAACTAAAACATCTGTTTGGTTTTGATTATAAACTCATGCTCACGTGATATTGCATATCTTAATCAAAATTAAAAGTTTATTATCTGCATGTGTTTTAAATAGAGATGCACGATATATCGGCCACCATATCGGCATCGGCCGATATCGGTTCATACTGTATTTCCTTAAAATCATAATACATATTATATATTTTTTTCTTTTATCAGCAGTTTCTCTGCATGAGAATGTCCAAATGTAATGTAATTTATATTTTCGAAATTTTTTAAAAGTGTTCTATCAAACGATACCTACCTTTTCTCCTTGCTATAGTTTTGGAGTTACGAGTCTTTAGTTTTTGTGTATGTCACACGATCCCTATACCGAGTACCGATCCAATACTAAAATAATAATTTTAAAAAACGTGGCGAATTACCTAATAAACTGTATCCGTATTCCTCACTGTGAGGAAGAGACTGTGATTATTCTTTTGTGAAAGGCATCAAGCTTGACTTAAACATTATTTTCCTAACTTTGTAAAACAATATACGGACAAAATTTATACTATATAATTAAAAGACATTTATTTTAAATCTTTAAGCGCAGATTTTTGAAGAAGCAGCAACATATGATAGCTAGGACAGAACAATCAACTATCAATAAACTGCCATTGCGCAAAAGTGTTGTAATATGAAAGGCTCCAATTCAGAAATAAATCAATTATTTATTTATTTATTCAATAGTTTGAGCCTTTTAACAGTTTTAAATGTCAGTTATGTGCGCGTGAAGAACGATTATATCGCTCTCTACTCAGTGTTGTGATCTAACAGACACCGGGAGAAAGTAACGTGTGAAACTCCAGCCAGATAAAGTCCTTTATGCAAAACCATAGACCTTTATTATCAACAGATCTACAGTATAATAATAGGAACATTGAATCATCTTGGAGAGAGTTTCATCGTGTCGACTGTCGTAACCGAGCGTGGGTTAACCCTAACCCTGTAAGTGCCGAATGGAGAATTACTGGAAGCACTTTAATGGTGAACTTGAATTTAACGACTTAAATCTGTACCTCACATTAAACTATATGGAATGGCTTCAGAAAACTTGGTGCACTACTTTATAATGTTGTTGTGCCTTTTGTGTTGTATAACAATAACGTACACAATATCGGATTTGGGTGGTCTCGTCTGGCCGATACCCGATTCGGCAAAAATGGGCAGTATCGGAGCAATACCGATAATGAGTATCGGATCGGCGCACGCCTAAAACAGCTGTACACATGCCCTGAGCTGAAGGGGTTAACCCATTCACACGCGACGAATCAACAGAACCCGCACTGACTGACTGTGGATGGCCGGTTTATGTGACGCCAGTATCAAGTTCTCTTTTGCGCTTGAACGAATAATAACACACACGATTATACCAAAATGTCAGTTTTGTCGATTATCCTCATAAGAGCGGTCTTAAATGAGTTAAATAAAGTCTTAAATGAACGTAAATAGTTGTGAGAAAATGAGACGCGTGTCTCTGTCAGCAGCGGCTGGTCTTAAGTGATTATTGTAACAAAATATATGTGTGTGTGTACTTTGTATAATTATTTTGTATATATAAATACACACACATGCATGTGTATATATATATATATATATATATATATATATATATATATATATATATATAAGAGAAATGTGTCATTTATATATAAATATATTTATTATAGCCTACCGGTATTATATAAATTATATATAAATATACAGTTTATACATGCAAATATTTCTTAAATATACACATGCATGTGTGTGTATTTATAGGCTATATACCAAATGATTATACAAAGTAAACACAAACTTTTATTTTAGGTGCGATTAATAGCGATGAATCGTTTCACAGCCCTATTATTCATATAATTTCAAAGCAGCTTTCCAAAAAATGCTTGTTTCAATGTTGCAATTTAGGAAGTATTCTCTTCTCAGCCAGAGATGAGTGTGTCAAAGTACGTCCATATGACAGTGATATGCAGATATAATAAAGCAGTTAATGTCATGTATTCAGTTAAACAGGGTTGGGCAACAATTATAACTTGAGCTTGTTGTAATCATTTCAATATAAGGATAATATTTCTAACATGACATAACCATATGATCATATGTGCAAGGCAGCCTCCGCTTTAAGAACAGCTTTTCTAAACACGTTTATATTTGAGATGTTTAATCGACTGAATCCCAGCATCAGTTCCTCTTCCGGTGTGACCCGAGCTCGTCTCCAGGCGAGTGATGCTGATGCTGATGCACAGGCCACTGACTGACTGAGAGTTCAGATAATCATGCAACATTACAGCTCGACTCTTAAATCAGCGATGTCGTTCATTGCATTGCTCACCAACACTAGATGGATCTAATCGCAGAAATGTTTCTCCGGCGACGCGACCAGCCTGAAACATTGTTGCATTCACCAGCTCTCATTTGAATACTGACGCAAGATGCTTTCATGGTTTATGTTCTGTATACTCACTTCGCTTGGGTGGTAAACAGCCTCCAAATCTTTTCCACAGAAACACGTTATATTTAAGAGCCGTTATATCGCTGTATTAAACACCTCCAGCACCGCTCGCTCTTCTAGTTCATTCTGTGAGCGATGCTGCAGCTGAGCGCTTAAGTCCCGCCTCCTCCTGTGAACAGCCAATCAGCATTACAGAAGGATTCTGTGCGCCAATCACAGACCGCCGTGTGCCAAGATGAAAGGTGTGGATCGCGTGTCGTCATAGCCCCTCCTTAATAATGTTACAATACAAAGCACATATAACATTTTCTTTCTTTTTTATTATTTGTTTTTATATATATATATGCATTTTGTTGGTATCAAAGAATAATTCAAAGTTACTTAATCAAAGAACGTTTTTACATTGTTATGACATGGTTATGGTAAATATTTTTTGTATTTTTTTTACATATTTGATATTTTCTTTTCTTATTAGCAAATCCAGGTGATGGGAACAAAATACTGAGGAGGGCTTTTACTTTCTGAACCTGGACTTTACACCTCTGTCGCTCTGTGTGTGTGTGTGTGTGTGTGTGTGTGTGTGTGTGTGTGTGTGTATATAAAGAAGTCTGTGGTTGGTCTTGTATGTTTTTATAATACCAAGGCTATGTGTAATGTTTTGTCTTTTTTGTTTTGATTGTTTTTACATATTTGATTTTTCTTTTCTTTTATATATATAATTTATTTTATGATATGATATATATATATATATATATATATATATATATATAATAGAATAATTTGTATCACTCCTTTTCATGACATTGTGCGCCTCAGTGCAATTTTAAAATTGGTCATTTAAAAAATTATAATTCACAATAAGTTAAACATTAGTGTACATAAACCAATAGGGGCAAGTTGTCACACGTTTTTACTGTATAGGCACAAAAACCAGGGAAAAAAAGTATTGAAAAAAAGGCAAATCATTCATGCAACCGGACATCTGACTGAAAGCCTTACAGTTACAGCTTATATAAGAGATATAGATTATTACCTTCTGAGTTATTATATACAGTGTTTGTGGCTTTACAGTATGTATGGAAATGTAATTACTAGTCAAAAGAAGAAAGTGTCTTCTCTCACAATCTTGCCCTTCTCTTGCATTTGTCTTTAGAGTTCAGGTGTGCAAAAGCCTGTTGTGGTTTTCCTTGTGTAAAACAAGCTCTGGTCCATCCGGCAGACTGAGCTTGAGATAACGCATATTTACATATCATATACAATATACATTTTTACACATCAATGTCAGACTGAGTTCATTCGGCCGGCTGTATCTGTAACTCTAACAACAATGATCAGAGGATATTCTGCACAATATATTTCACATGATCACGCCTCTAACAGCCCTGCATCATGAAAATGCAAAAAAGGCCTAATATTTCATAATCGATGATGCTGAGTTAAAAAATATCAGTAAAAACTTTCCATTACTAAAATATATATATATATTATATATATGCATGACTCTGTACCAGGAAGTATTATTCCAAACTTGCAGTCTGCAAAAGAGTGGAAAATAATGTACACATACTATGTCAAACATTAACAGCATAAATACGTTTTTTTTTCTTTAACTTACTATATAATAACATCCACAGATGTCGCAGACAACATCCGGGTTCATGTGTGCATTTTCTTCTGTCACTGGCCATTATTCTAACCTAATAATGTCGTATACATGTGAAAATCGGCTGAGAATTGAAACAAAATGGCTCGGAGAAAGATGGGAATCAGGTCTTTTTCTTCTGGTGATTACGGGACGATAGAAGCCTTACAAACTGTATAAGCAAAAATGCTACAAAATGCACATATTTAGTGAGAAAGTGTGACGTGCTAAACCAAAACCAGCTCTATTTCTGGAATCAGCACCCAAAATGAGTGAGAAACGAGTACAGGGCTCGACACTAAGCCTCGTCCTGTGCTTGTCCTTCAGACGACTTCATTGGTCATTCACTTGTCCGAGTAAAAAAGTTACTAAGGTTAAACAGGGATTTTTTTGCGGTGTAAAAATAATTTATTCTGAGCAATATTTTCATTAGTGTTATATAAGCTTTGACATTTTTAAATCTGCATATTTGTGATATTTACCACAAGGTCATTTTTTACCTTTAAGGCGAGACACCCCATAGGGTAAAAAAAACAACTAAATAAATATCACCATACTTCACCAGTTGATAATTACATTAATAATTGCTAACATTTTTTGTATTCTGAAATTTAATATTTAAATATGCAAATGAGGCGCTATCCAATTAAATATGCACTAATTTGCATACATTTCTAAATCTGACAAAAATCTGAACATTGGATGAAGCTTCAAAATTCTTGTTTATTTTTTATATATTAGAGTCTTTAAGGTTTTTACTGAGGGGATTTTGGATATCTCTATTTATCACTCCACAAATCAGAAAATACTGTCAACAGCCAAAAATCAATACATTTTCGCCATTTTTTTTAGGAATAAAATGTTGTATAAAATCAGGAAAATGATATATGAACAAGCCCTTCTGTAAAAACCTTCAGAATACAGATAAGATAACTGTAAAGTGGAGATTTCTGGCTAAATGTAGGAGGAAAAAAAATACACTGAAAAATTACAACTGTATTAAATAATGTTATGAGATTGTTTAAAATATTTTTTTTAAATAAAATAAGAAACGTGAAACTAAACCGCCAGTAGATGGCGGCAGTCTTAATGAGTGAGTCACTGAGCCATTCATTCAGACGATTCGTTCAAACGGCTGATTCATTCGAGAATGATGCAATTGTTTATGAATGGGTCATTGAATCTTTGACTGAACTGATTCGTTCAAAACGCTGAATCGTTCAGTAATGAAACGAGCTCAGTGCTGCTGTGATCTTTGTTTGGAACTATTTTCGCTGCTGAAACAGAACAAAAAACAGTCACTAAAATCAGAAACATTCTCGCATTTTGGTGTTTCACTAGTTGTTTTTAGTCACTGAAGTTTTAATCAAGCTTATTGTCCAGCTCGGCAAGTAAAATTCTCTTTCACTTGCCCCTTCAAAAAATCCATTTGTCCCGGACAAGTGGACAAGCTTTAATGTCGAGCCCCTGAAGTATTGGATTTCATTCAGCAAATACGATGCAGGGCGGTGAATTATTAATAGTGTTAAAAGTGACTTTCAAACCAAGCTTTATGTTGGCGAATCCGTGTGAACAACCTGAACATGAGCAGAATTGGGAACTTTTTTTACCCTTGTGCAAAATGGCCAAACACGCAGATTCCTATTGAAATGATTTCGCCAAGCAGCGGTAACCCAGACAGCAACATAGTGTCGGCCCACATCCGGTCCACATCTGGTACACATGTACCTCGTTTCCACCAAAAAAGGACTGGTTCGGAACTGGTGCTGGTTCAAAGTTGGTTCAATTGCGAACCTTCTCAGAACCGGTTTGTTTTTCCACTGACTAGAGAGCCCAGCGAACGCCGTCGTTACGTCACTGTGTGCGTCGCCATACGTCTTAGCTTTCCCATTCCCGTCGTGTTGTTGGTCACAGTAACCCCCCCCCAGCCCCCAGCCCCGGACGTAAGCATGACGTGGTAAAAGAATGGTTCTAGTCCAGCAAAGAGTTGGCGCCGCTTTGGAACCAATTTTCCTGGCCGAGAACCGGTTCTTTGGCTGTCGAAACACACAGAACTGGTTCCGGCTCCGAACCGGCTCTCAAAATGCTTTGGTGGAAAAGGGGTAATGGATTCTACATGTATCAGACGTGGGCCAGATCTGGGCCGACACTATGTTGCTGACCGTACCTTACGAGGTTCTTGGTCAAGATGAGGCTCGGCGTGCACCAGACCTCAAGTCTGGCTGAGATTAATTTAGACCCAACCTACAGTGCTTATTTTGGGGTCAAGCAGTGACTGTGACTGTTCTGCTCGCAGTGGGACGGTTTCCCATCCGTTCTCCGTCCCGGCGTCCTCAGAGAGCCTTGGACAGGTGTGTCCTCCTGTGACACCCGTGATCTCTCTGAGCGCTCCTGATAACGCCCGTGACGCAGCCCTCAACGCCCCCGCTCGTTCCCACCGCTCACACACTCTTGCTCCCGGACGAGCCCCCTGCGTGAGCTCCGTTATGAAGTCCAGACTCTGGGAAGGCAAGCTGAACAACGGCAGTCCCCGGAGAAACGCGGGCAGGGCCGTGGCAGTGCACAGGCCGTCGAACTGCGCCAGCACGAAGCGCTCTCCCGCACGACCCAGCAGATAGTCTCCCAGAACGCGGCTCAGCAATGCGTCGAAGACTTCGGAGCACGTTGACGATTGGACCCCCGTACCTTCTTCCGGTTTCCCTCCCCGACAGCCCCATGGCTCGGCCCGCTCGCAGGCTTCCGGAGTCAGAACCATCACAGCTTTCCCTCCGCTCCGCCGCACCCGCTCCAGACAGGAGTGCAGCCAGGGAACCGGACCCAGAGCGTTGATCTCGGAGCGGTTCCACAAGTCCAGAGACACGGTGAAGCCGAGAGCGGAGAGACTCGAGCCCAGACGGCACATTAGCTGGATCACGGTGGCGTCTGAGTCCGGAGGACACACCAGAAGCAGCTCCACACCCCCCGACACCGCAGCTGAAACAACACACAGACAAGAGTTGGTCTTTGATTTTAGACATGGGGCTCCGTCACCCACTCCGACTCTGATAAAAGGAGAGGTGATAGAGATGGTGACGGAGTACCAATGTCTTTGTCTTATCATTGATCATAAATTATCCTGTGATCAGTGTACTGATGCCGTTTTTAAAAAGGGCCAACAACGTTTGTATTTTCTTAGAAAACGTAATTATTGTTGAGAACAAAATTGTGAAGTCCTTTATTGAGAGTATTCTCTCCTACTGTATTGTATGCTGGTATATAACAAATTGGGGAAGATTGTTAAAACCTGTGGAAAAATCATTGGTTAACAACAGGTAGATCTGTCCCAACTATATCTGAGCAGATTGGCACAGAAGGCAGACATGGATACAACCCGTCCACTTTCAGTGGAGTTCAAGCCGCTCCCTTCTGGTCGTAGATATAGATACCCTAAGGTCAAAACCAACCAAAACTCATTCATTCCCATGGCAATAACCCAATCAAACAAGGCGTGGGGAGGGGTATGACTGGAGAATATATGTGAAGTAATGTGAAGTAGTTTTATTTATTTATTTATGACATTGTGCATGTGGATAATGTTTGTGTCAATATGCCTGTACTCTAAAACAAATGGCCTCTTGGGGACATTACAATTTTCTAAGTCCAAGTCAGATGAACGTCAGCAAACACACCGCTGAAACTACTGTGATGGGTTTTTTAAATTAATCATAACTAACATTTATTTTTCTTGCAGGATTAATAATTTAATGCTTTTGAAACCTGAAATGTCCTGCACGAGTCCTGTTTGATAAACCCCAACCCGTAGTAATTAACAGAACACCAGATCCGATATCCGACAGAAACACTAATTTTACATAAGTTTGACATAAAAATCACGACCCGAATCACACCCGCATTTAATCTCCTACATGAGGTAACGTTAAACAAAAACAGGGTATATGCAGGAATCTTGAAGTTAATTTTAATACCTTTTCAAGACTTTTTCAAGACCTTCTCAATATTTTTTAATACCTCACCGCCACTTCAAGCTGTAACCATTTACATCAGTGATACTTTTAACTTAACAGTTTTAGTTTGTGATAAAGACTATGGACCACTCTGATAAAAAAATGAATGAAAAAAAAATAGGCTGGGATAGTAAATCAAAGCAAAGTTTATTAAAAAACAAAACAAAACTTTGCTCCACCCTCAACAACAATCATGCTGACATGTGCCTCAGTTCTTCGTTTTTTTAATAAAAATGACTAAATTCACACACTTTTACGATGTTTTTGGGACTCAAACTGTTGGACAGCTAATTCAGAAAAAATACTTTCAAAATTTCAGACTTTATAAAGACGTGATAAGACTTTTAAATACTTTGTAAGGGTCTTAATTTTCCCAAAATTGATTTATCAACTTTTAATACTTTTCAAGACCCCGCGGATACCCTGAAAAATCATTTCCTCATATAGCCTAACGCAAGCAATAAACCTAACATTAGGCATTCTAAACCGATGCAATTAATTAAACATTACATTAAACGACACAATAAAATAATAGAACAAAGAATGTTTTAGTAGGCCTAACTGTAAGCTTAAAGCTAGTAAATATTTTAGCAGATTCGCTCTGCATTTAAATGCGGTCGTCTCTTCTGAAACTCGGCTGTGTTTACCTGGCCGCTGGTCCTCTTTGTAGCAGCACGAAAAATAGGCTAAAACGTTCATTCAAATTGTTAATATATTAAATACATAAAGCGAGCAAAGTGCGCTCCCTTTATTATAATCACTATAGCTTTCAATCAGATTCAGCGCGATTGGCTACAAGCTCAGCGCTGCAAATCCTGCTGTAATTAGAAGCCTTTAGCGGTCTTCAGACAGAGCGAACACAAATAAGCACGAGACCATTTGAAAGCAGCTGTCAGTCAAATGCACTGAATTGAGTTGAAATAGTCAAATAGTTGAAATAGCCGAATTGAGTTGAAACCGCGCGTCCGATCCGCACCCACAACGCAACCGACACGTAAATATTATTCCACCTGTTGCATCACATATTAGCGGGTCGCCCGTGTGGAGGACTCAGTCAGTGTGTGTGTGTGTGTTAGTGAATCATCTCCGAACATAACAAAAGGGGAAAAGAAACTAGACAGATATACATTGAACCAGTGTTGTAGTCGAGTCACCAACTATCGAGTCCGAGTCGAGTCTCGAGTTCCAGTGTTCGAGTCCGAGTCACCAAAGAAGAGTCCGAGTCACCAAAGTCCGAGTCGAGTCCAAGTCGAGTCACCATTACCTGAGTTAAAGTCCGAGTCGAGTCTCGAGTCCCGTGTTCGAGTCCGAGTCGAAATTATATACACTTAAGCCAAATCAAGCAACATTTTTCAGGCACTCTTTCTTGCAGCTAGAAATGTGTATGATATCACTAGAATTGCCTTTGACCTTAGTTCAAATCATTGTCAACTAGCTGTGGCACGATAATTGTTAATTGTTTAAATACATTTTTGGATGATCAGTCAACTGGAATGGATAAAGAAAACAAAAAAGAAAGCCTACTTGGACTGAGGAGGAGAAATGCATTCTTCTTGACGAATATGGTAAAAGAAAAACAATTTTGAATTTTTGAAAAGCAAACTAAATCCCGATGTAACTGCGGCAAAAAAAACAGAAAATGCAGTGCTATAAGCAGTTGTAACTCCGCAGGAAAAGAGTGGTTGCGATGTGTGACATAGTCAAGGTCGCCGTCTAGTTTGTTAGCTAAAATAAACATAATTGTGTTATTGTATGATAAGCGGGATTAAGCGCTGAGCGCGTCCGACTTTGGCTCAGCGCCAGCAATAGCACGAAAGCACAGTTTAAACCTGGCAGTGATGTCACGTCACTGTACGTTCGCTCCTTATGGGTCAGCTCAGCTGCTGCAAAGCGTGCCGAAATCGAAATGGCTGATTAGATGTAGAGGAACTTATCTAGTGTTAAATGAGTGTTGCGTTATCTCTCTCACGAGAATGCGGCGTAAAGTGAGTGACGTCAGTGAGTGTGTTGTCAAGCGAGGAGAGCGAGCGGTAGCAGTGTCTGTGAGGGAAAAAATAGATCACGGCCGGTCTTGGACCCCGAAACAGGAAAAGTGTAACATCTTATATCAAACTTTTATAACCTATTTAGTCAGAAACAACGTCATTCATTTGATGAATGCTCAAGTCCAATTTGATATATATATAGTCCAGGACTCGAGTACTCCATCACTGCACTGAACAAAATTATAAACGCAACACTTTTGTTTTTGCCCCCATTTTTCATGAGCTGAACTCAAAGATCTAAGACTTTTTCTATGTACACAAAGGCCTATTTCTCTCAAACATTGTTCACAAATCTGTCTAAATGTGTGTTAGTGAGCACTTCTCCTGAGCCGAGATCATCCGTCCACCTCACAGGTGTGGCGCATCAAGATGCGGATTACACAGCAGGATTACTGCACAGGTGTGCCTTAGGGCTGTCCACAATAAAAGGCCACTCTAAAATGTGCAGTTTTAGCGCACAGCACAATGCCACAGATGTCGCAAGTTATGAGGGAGCGTGCAATTGGCATGCTGACTGCAGAAATGTCGCCCGTGAATTGAATGTTCATTTCTTTACCATAAGCCGTCTCCAAAGACATTTCAGAGAAGTTGGCAGCAGTGTTAATTTCGTTGACGAATAATTTCCGTCATTATATTCGTCAACGACATTTTTTCACAGACGACAATGAGACGATAACTAAATAAAAACCAGTTTTAAATGACGACAACTATGACGAAGATTTATTGACATTTTCGTCAACGAATAAAAACTAGACGAAAATGTTAGGGAGAGCCGATTGGGGAAGAGATCCATTCAGAACTGATTTGCGTTTGTGAATTTTTATGATTGTGGCGTGCGAGGTGAGATCATGAAGGAAACTCACCGTTCACATCATCCAGCTTCAGCCATCTGAACACCCAGCCTGTCATACAGAGAGAGAAGGGGGATTCACACTTCCGCTCACAGATACATTTTACCCAAAAATCAAAACAATAAAAATAAGATTTATATTGTGCACAAAAAAAAATTATTTTGACAATGTGACATTATTTCCAATACAATGAAATACATTTCCCCACCTTGTTTGTTTTATGGCAATGTATAAGATATTTAATTGTTCTTATATTTCATATTTCATATTTAAGATATATGATATTTCAATGAAATAAATATCCTCTGGTCTGTTTGTGTGTGTGTGTGTGTCTGTGTGTGTGATTTATGAGGACAGAAACTGGTATAATGACATGGGTATTAAACTTGTCATAATCATCATCATAATGTGAACGTGATTTATGATGACATTTCATTAGTCCTCATATTTAAAATGGCTTTAAAAACATTCTAACCAGTGTTTTATTAAAATTGCATAAAGTTTCCTGTGATGGGTAGGTTTAGGGGTCGGGTTAGTGTGTGTGTGTGTGTGTGTGTGTGTGTGTGTGTGTGTGTGTGTGTGTGTGTGTGTGTGTGTGTGTGATGGATATGATTACTAGTGTATGGGGACAGAATATACAGTTTAGACAGTATAAAAACCATTACGCCTATGGAATGTCCTCACAAGTATAGCAAAATAAACGTGTGTGTGTGTGTGTGTGTGTGTGTAATGCTCACTCTTCAGTGTTCCCTGCACTGCATAGGCTCCCAGCACTGACAGGCACACCAGCAGAACACACAACACCAGCGGGAAGATCCAGTGAGCCCTCTTCACTGCAGCACACACACACACACACACACACACACACACACAAGAACACAGAGGGAGAGTCGTTATTACATCACAATCTGCATTATATCTGCAATGCGTTATGTTGTAGTACTGAAGTATTATGGCACATTAATTCTGCTCGCTCATCAGAACTGAGGGATGCGAGTGCTTGCCTTCAAACGGACACACTGGTCCCACGAAGCCGTCCATTCCCGCCACTTTAACCTGGACAAGAGACAAAACACTGCCAGTTTCCCAAAACACACACCAGAAGTGAACTGTAAACATGATGAAGAAGTTTATTAGGTACCTGAACACACAATAGAGGATGACGTTCCACTTGTAGAAACTCTCCTCGTAACTGCTGCAGTGGATGAAAGAAGAGATACGTGTTAGAGAAGTAAATATAAAGTAACACTTTATTCTAAGGTCAAAATGTGAAATGTACTTACTATAGAAATAACATTAAATTATGCATAACTACAAATTAATCCAAACCCTAAATAAGGCAACACTTTATTTTACAGTGTCCGTTACAGGTTACATGTAGTTACTATAGTAAAAACTATAAATTAATTATTATTACTCAGTGCTTAAATGTATAACTACAGTATAGTAAGTACATTTTATTAATATATAATTTTATTAATATTCCTCAGTACCTATTTGTGTAATTACACTGTAACAGTCACCTTAAAATAAAGTGTAACCAATTTTCTCCTGTTTATACAGTTATACAGAACCATATAAGTTGTGTTTACCTCTTATAAGTTGTGTTAGTCAAGCCTCACTATTATTCCTGCTTACAGTTACTGTTTGGATAGTATGGATGCTTGTTTCTGCCACAGAATAAAACATTTTCAAAGATATTTGCGACTTTTTATCTCACAATTGCGAGTTTACAACTCGTAATTCTGACTTTAATTCTCAGAATTGTGAGATATAAAGTAAGACTTGTGAGATATAAACTCACAATTGTGAGAATTAAACTCAGAACTGCATGTTTGTATCTCGCAATTCTGACTTTATAACACGCAATTGTGTGTTATAAAGTCAGAATTTTGAGATATAAAGTCGCAATTGCGTGTTATATATAAAGTAAGAATTGTGAGATATAAACTCGCAATTCTAACTTTTTCTCGCAACTACAAGTTCACATCTCGCAATTCTGACTTAAAACGCAATTTGACATTTGACAATTTGACGTATTATAAAGTCAGAATTGTGAGATATAAACTCATTAAGCAATTGCGAGTTATAAAGTCCAATTCTAAGTCAAAAAAGACTGACTTTTTTCCTCAGAACTCGCAATTCTGACTTTGTCTTGCAATTGCGAGTTTATATCTCGCAATTCTGACTTTATAATACGCAATTGTGTGTTATAAAGTCAGAATTTCGATATATAAAGTCGCAATTGCGTGTTATATATAAAGTAAGAATTGTGAGATATAAACTCGCAATTCTAACTTTTTCTAAGTTCACATCTCGCAATTCTAACTTAAAATGCAATTTGGGTTTAATGTATATCTCACAATTCTGACATATTTTCTCAGAATTGTGAGATATAAACTCATTAAGCAATTGCGAGTTATAAAGTCCAATTCTAAGTCAAAAAAGACTGACTTTTTTCCTCAGAATTGCGAGATTTCTCAGAACTCGCAATTCTGACTTTGTCTTGCAATTGCGAGTTTATACCTCACAATTCTGACTTGATAACACGCAATTGCAACTCTTCATCTCGCAATTCTGACTTTATAATACAATTATAAAATTTCAATATATATATATAATTACAATTATAATACAAATATCGCGCAATTGTGAGAAAAAAAAGTCCGAATTGTGAAATGAAAAGTCGCAATTACCTTTTTTATTTTTTATTCTGTGGCGGAAACAAGCTTCCATAGGATACTGATCTGAACCCCAAATATTAAACTCCACCATCTAACTTGTCCCACACCATATTAGACATCTGAAGTGCAGTTCCCCACCCAGCGCCTGCGGTCTGAGGTCTGGGTCCAGCTGTTGTTCGGGTAGATGTGCACATGAGATCTGGTGTTCAGCGCATTGCATCTGGTGTCCAGGCCTGAGCTCCTCCGACACAGCCACAGCTGAGCCTGGAGCCGGCAGGAGCCCGTGAGGATCCACAGCAGAGCGGGGCGCTGGTCACGAGCTTCAGCCTCGGACACGGACACCGACACACTGGACACTGAGGCTGCGGAGAGTGTAACAGTCATACTCTGCAGATTAAGTCAGACTACACCAGTCGGGTTTCCATTACAGATTTGCGAAAAACTTGTGTGATATTTCCTGAATGTCGATAAAAAACTATTGTAAAATTACGGCGTTTCCAGGAACCGATGTTATGCGACTAAAATGCAATTTTTTCCTTTTGCGATAAGACGTTCCAAAAGTCATGCTGGTAGGTTTACGTATATCTCAGCCACTGCACTGGCCATTATTATTAACCAAAGGAGACGTATGTGTGTTTTCCAAGCATTAATGACAAGGAAAGACGCTTACACTGAGAGCGGCTCATATGAGTGTTTCTCACTCCTTCTGCTTCAAGACCCTAGCCTGGATGCCAGCCTGAACCCCGCACACAACATTTTTTGGTCTGGAAGTTCGGTCTGGACTCGATCCATTGAGGAGTAATTATGATCGGTTCAGAAATCGTCGGGCCAATCAAATTGCCAGGGCGGGCTTTATACGATGATGGACAGATGATCTGCAGTTGCGTAATCATCGCGTTATCAAAGAGCGCTTGGGTTGAACTGGTTTCCCTCAGAGATGGAGCGCTTGGGTTGAACTGGTTTCCCTCAGAGATGGAGCGCTTGGGTTGAACTGGTTTCCCTCACAGATGGCCGCCGCTGGAGAACTGAGATGTAGAGATTCCACTATCGCGTCTGTTGTGGAAGAAATCGACAGCGCATTCATTTTAAAAGACGAACAGAGAACTGCAATCAAGGCATTTGTCGATCGGAAAGATGTGTTTGCCGTCCTTCCTACGGGATTCGGCAAAAGTTGAATTTATCAGCTGGCTCCGATGGTAACTAAGAAGATGGGACGCACTGAAAGCCCTGTGGTCGCTGTGGTTTCTCCTTTGGTCGCACTCATGGAGGACCAAGTAAAAGAAGCAACACTCGTTATTTTACTTCTTCCAGCGTGCGTGTAGTTGAGTTCTGTTGACAACTATGTGTAGCTCAACATACGTCACTTACTGCGTTGCTCTGATTGGTTGTAGGTCTATCCAATTGAGTGCAGAGTTCTTTCTCCTGGTTCGGTTAAGACACGCCTCATAATCAAAGCCCTATGGAGCAGCATCAGACTCACATTCTGACTAGAACAGTGGCGTAACGAGCCAACACCGGGCCCTTATGCAGGATTATCAAGGCGGGCCCCCTACTACAACACGTGATGACGCAATGTCCACGAGTAGGCTTTTGCATGCAATACGCAAGGAACTGTTTACACCTGGCCACTTCATGCTTTTTCTGTGATCGTATAGCTATCCGATCGTGAAAAGACCAGGTGTAAATTCCCTTCGAAACGCATTCGAGACGGATTTGAATCCGGTCGCTCAAACCACTTCAGGAGGTGTTCTGGGCCGCATTCCAGACGACACTGGACAAGTGTAAATACATCTGGTTGTTGAAACCACATATGTCAATTTTACTCCTCTAAAAATGCTAAAAAAAAATAAAAATGTGTGAGAGCGTGTTATAGGCTATATGTCATAGTCAGATATGACGACGCTTCTGCAACAACACGCATCACCGCAGATGAGCATCTATTCATCAAGCCAACGCACAAACTATCGCAAATCAAAGTGAAAGTAAGTCGCAGACGCTCGCTTAACACACAATCATCTTCATTAAAAGTAAAGAAACGAAATGATCTTACCAGTACTGTTGCCGCTCTCTCTAATTGCGGTCTACGATTTAGACATTTTAGCTGATGATCAATAAAATGCAGCTTATCTGTTGCTTTCGGTGACGTGAACTCTATTAAATCTGCATATCGTCGCTGCCCGATGAAACTCACGTAGGCCTATGTCCAAAACGGTTACTTTTCAGGAAGTGAAAAAAACACGTAATTTCAAAAGCAGTTGAACGTAGCGTTGTCATACTTGGTACGACAACTTTAAATGTAACCATATTCTTGCCAGTGTAATGATATAATCCACATTTGACCAAAATTGAGTTTAAATGGACATACGTGCATATTTTACAGTAACGGTGGTCGATACGCGTTTTTCCGATTTCGTTTTGTATAAATTGTATCTTCATTTTAATCAATGTTTTCATCAACAAATTTGCAATAAACTGAAACGTAGAAAACGTAAAAAATAAACTGAGACGTAGGCTGTTTAATAAACTGAGCGTAGCCTATTCATCTGTCAATATGAAATATTGACAGATGAATAGGCTACGCTCAGTTTATTAAACAGCCTGCGTCTCAGTTTATTAATACGGTCAGTTTATTATATGTCTCTTGCAAACTATGAAGGGACAATGAATCAATACACTGACATGGCAATGATAGACTGATACTATGAGGGGGAAGCACAGTCGGAGCACTGCTACTTGGGCGCAGAGATCAGCTATCAAGCAACACCTGAAATAAAGCTTGCAAATTTGTTGATGAAAACATTGATTAAAATGAAGATACAATTTATACAAAACGAAATTTTCAAGCAAAAATAATATTCGAAGATCGCTGGGTATTGTTTGATTATTAGCATGTGAGCAAAGCGGAGCGGTGTGACGCTTATAAGTTAAAAAACTTAAACATACGTTAACGTTTCATATTTATGTTTAAATAATACAATGTTTTTTTTATTATTATTTCATATATGTTGATTAGGCTATATGAAAACGGAACCGCATGAGATGAGTAAGAGGATCATAAGATGACCAATTAGGCCTATATCGGAAAACATTTGGAATGGGTCAGATTTTGATCTACTAAGTTTTGTTTTGTAGAAAGCCTTTCTTTAAATTTTATTTCGTTTTGTATAAATTGTATCTTCATTTTAATCAATGTTTCATCAACAAATTTGCCTGGATTAATAAATAAGCACTTCATATGAAGTGTGCATTTCTCTCTATAGGCGCGTTCACTACTGCGAAGATGGCGAGTCTGTATCGTCAACTTTATCAACAATTCAAATGTTTCATGCATAATCATTACTTTCGCCGGTTCTTTGTGGCAAGCTTTATTTCAGGTGTTGCGTGATATCTCTGCGCCCAAGTAGCAGTGCTTCGAATCCGCGGCGAAATGCATCCACAGGGTGGGAGATACGCGGCGTGATTGACAGCTTTGACACCAAATGGATATACGTGAAAATCAGATGACATGATTTCACAACTTTTCATTGGTCATTTAGATAATGTGAAGCATGCTGTATACGGAAATGAACCTGGACATTATATCCGTCAAAAAATCTCAAAATCGGCAAAATGGACATAAAATATGATATAGCGCGGAAATTGAAGATCGGATTTATATCTGTTTTGCAAAAACACATTTATGTGACCAGCTGTAAATGGAATCGTTTTGATAAATCAGTAGCTATCCGATCTGAGAAAACGCATGAAGTGGCGCGCGCGTGTAACGTTAAACAGCCGACCCGGGGATTCCCCAGTCCCAGCTCAAAACAAATTACACCAAAATCCATGATTGTTCGTTTCACACATGTATTTAATGATCTGTAAAATATGTTGTTATCATTATATATTTAAAACAAAATCGTGATAAAGTAAAATGCGATCAAACTAAAAGTAGTAATATGCGATAGGGGGCCCCGGCTGTCAATCAATATCTTCCAGTCAAGCGGGCCCCTGATTGGTCCGGGCCCGTAAGCAACCGCGTACCCTGCTTACCGATAGTTACGCCACTGGACTAGAATATGAGTATGACGAAGTCAGGCTATCAAGATCTTGTAACAGAATGAAAAATCTGTAACAGTTATTTTTGTAATGAAAGAATGAAATGGTGTAGAAACACTACAAGCCGTTAGAGGGCGCTATACAGGCTCACCTGTTTGGCATACAAGGGGAAAGCTGACATGAAGAAGTCAGTCAGTTTGGGTAGTGGGAGCTTATGTTTCTTGGTGGCTACCTCTAGAAAGTGACTTATTGAGAAACCTTGGGGTTTTAAGCTCAATGTAAGAACTGATCATTTACTCACGGCTTAGGGTGAATTGGGAAACAAGTAAGTTAGGATGGGTTAAAAAGGATGTTGGCCTGGAGTGGATTTGTTTTTGTTGGTTGTGTCCAGCCGAAATGGACAATGCTACAGAAGAGAGAAGTATTTCAGCGCACTCAATCTTTTCATCAAGTTGCATTTAACTTTCACGGGACAGAACTTCATCTCAGATAAGAACCTTAAGATTATTGTTTTTTTTTTGTGTGTGAAATGAAAGACAATGTTTTTCTAGTCTTTCATTTGAATAATTATCCAAAAGTGCCAGCATTGGGGGAATAAAACACCTTAAAAGAATCAAAAGTTGGTAGAATGTTTGCTTAAGTTTATTAAACAGTTTTTTTGATCTGTGTGATAAACCCTCATTAGTAGCTAAATCGAAAAACAAAAAGAGAAAAGTTACAATCTTGATCAATTGAGGCATTTCTTTGTTGTTAATAATAATGAGTTTAATAAAGAACTCGGTCTAGTCTTCTGTCCAAACATACCGCATCATCTTTAAAGACGGATCGACTGCTACGTACGTCATGTGACTGTAAATGTGCAAAAACTGTTTAGAATAGAATAGAAGATACTTTATTGTCCCCTAATTTGTCATGGACTCAAGAGTGTGTAGTGGATAGTAGCTGCCCTTACAGACAATAAATGCATGTAAAATACAAATAACAGCTAAAGACATACACACTCATAAAACATCCAAAAAAAGGTTAAACCAAAAAATGAAATAAAAACACATTACAACAAGCAGAACACCAAGTTATTGCACACTTCCCAGACCTCAGCGTACAAGTCTATGTACAATTTTCATTGAGGTGGAAAGAGTACTCTACGAAAGAGTATTTAAAACGGTTCAATTTAGTTTTGGGGATTCTGTGCCTTCTGCCAGAAGACAAGAGCTCATATCCCGTTTGAAGGAAGTGGGACGGGTCCGGCTTTCTGGTTCAGTTTTGCGAAATATTCCTTTTTCGAATTGACTGAAAAAGCCCCTCATGTGAGTGGACATTTTTTTTTTTGCGAAATAAGGGAGTTTTTGCGAAATTGACATGTTTCCATTGCACGTATTTTCAATTCTCAATTTCAATTTGAGCAATTTAAAGGTTAATGGAAACGGCTAGTGTTATGTACTGAGCCAGCGGACCGCGAACGTTCTGGCAAGTTTTCTTTCCTTTTGCCAAATAGGTAGGAAAACTTCAACACCCATAATGCACTGGGCATGATGCAGTCCAAGGCCATTGCCACCAGTCTGCTATGGATACGCTTACCGGAGTCAAATACCACCTTGCTTTAGTAGGAAACACTTCTATGCTAAATTTGGTGTCGACTTGTATTGTTCCCGGGTGCAAGACTTCAGTGGGAAAGTTTAGTGGGAAAGCCACTTCCAGCCTGAAAACTCTTTGACTATACCAAGATCCAGCTGAATACTCTGAAAATTCCCTTAATTTTCCTTTAAAAACATGGTGTGTCAGTATTCAAAGTAGGAAGGGAATGCCATACCTGTTTCGTTCAAAAACGGACAATACTCTGTCCGAGGAAAGTTCCCCCAAATCTATGCAAATGGAGAAAGAGAATAAACATCAAGGAAAAATACAACAATAATAATAAAACTAGCTTTCCACTTAGATTTACTTTCTTGCTAGGCAGTTTTTACAAACTGTTCACAAGTTTATATAACTTCCGATCTCCAGACAGTGTTACTAATATAACCTCTTTATTCTGTATGTTTGTATGCATGACTTTCGTATATGATGCTTTTCTATTTATCTGGTTATTAAAGGGTTAGTTCATGCTGCATAAAGTCGTAGTTTTTGTTATTTTTTGACCAAAATGTATTTTCGATGCTTCAACACACTCTAACTAACCCACTGATGTCACATGGACTACTTTGATGATGTCTTTATTTGCTTTCTGGACGAGGACAGTACACCGTACATACATTTACAATGGAGGGACAGAAAGCTCTCGGACTAAATCTAAAATATCTTAAACTGTGTTCTGAAGATGAACGGAGGTCTGACGGGCTTGGGTCGACATGAGGGAGAGTCATTAATACCCTACTAACTAACCCTTTAATTCATTAAGAGAAATAAACATTTGTTGCCATTACCTCAAAGCACAGACAGGGGGCGACAGATCCCTGGGAAATCTCAAACTCATGGCTGGTGTTATTCTTTATATTAAGGAAGAGACAGAAAGGGAAGTTAAAACAAATTAAATGAACCAATTAAGTGTGTGATTGATCAGTGTGACGTACCCATTCCACCTTAAGACAGAGTCCGTTCCTGTCCCGCCTCTGGCATGCGTTGAACTCTTGGGATCTCCATTTCTCTGCATCAGCCACATATAGTGTTATTGCCCCTGTCACATGGTCAGTTCTTCTGTGTAGCCTGGGTGCGACTGGAAACCACAGCAGCCAATGAGAAGACGTCACAGATGGACCACAGATATATGACACAGAACCAGAACCAGTGACACGAATCGTCACTTTTGGGTAAACCTTTCCATAATGGATCACTGGTAACTTATTTTAGATGCCATTCTGCCATTAGAGTTTGATTCAGGGCTGCTTGATGAAGTTGTGAACTAGTCTTCAGTCTATACACTTCGGCTTCGTTCAGATTGTCAGTCCAAATCCGATTTTTGTGAACAGCAAAAAAAAAAAAAAAAAAAAATCACAAAAATATTTAATTTTTACAAATCCATTTTGGTTTGAAATCCTATTCAAATCGCATTTCTGGAAATCCGTTTCAGTCTGTGCGCTCTGATCAGATTTTGCATGGTCTATGTGACTTTGTCACGTCACGTCAGACGTTATAGGAATCATGCTGAAAGTCTAAACAATGCTGAGTCGGACGAGCAGAAAATGACAATATAACGGAGACGTATTATGAAACCGGTGGCGACAGCGCAGAAAAAGCCATTATACCAGCCTCCACATTATACACATTTACATGTTGTAAAATTAAAATAAGACAACATCTGAATGCAAAACCCTCCATGTAGCGGTTGTTGTTGTTTTTGGCGTATTCCTACCAACGCAACGTCATTGCCATAGAATCCAATGCAGATATTCCAGAAAACGATAGAGCTGCACGGACACACACATCGGATCTGAACAGTTGTGATACACAGTGTGGACGCCTATAACTTTAGATCAGATTCACAAATAATCGGATTTGGACTGAAAGTGTGAACTCAACCTTCATCAGGATACACGTGATCTGCAGCTTTCTACTGTCACACACTGCCAGTGAACTAAACTAGACGTGTAAAGTGGATAACGGTTAACTCACCTTTACAGTAGATGGCTTCTAAATCCTTACACACTGAAAGAGAAAAATGTGTTGGTGCCATCCGTTAATTAATGTTAATCAGTATTTGTATTTGTCTCAGATACTTATGATAAGTGAAAGTGAGTGTGAGTGTTTTGCAGCATATTTACCTTCCTCTTTTGAAGGGATCCTCACATGTTTAGTGGAGTTTGTGTATGAAGAATGGACTACAACAACACTGCCGAGCTTTGCCGCCGGTATCTCCACCACTAAAGACATCCACACCTACACACACACACACCTGAACAATCAGCTCCAGACAGACAGATATACACAGCTAAAACCCCAGTGTTAAAGGTACAATATGTAAGAATTTTGTAATAAAATATCCAAAAATCACTTGCACATATTTCCTGCAATTGTGTACTTACAATATCCCAAAAGTCTCCAAAGATTTTTTATTTCAGAGAAATTCCAATTTTAAACAAGTGGCCGTCCCGGAAAAAAATGTCGCCTGTCAATGACGCAATATCCGCGCTATCCTCGGTTTCCATTCATACTGCCATAGCCATGACGTAACCATGGCGCGTAACGTTTAGCGGCACGCAGTTCTTGTTTCTTTCAAACATAGACCATGGCAAGCAGACTTTGGGACAAACAAGGAGAACTAAAATGAGGATCAATATCAGCGTGGCGTTTGTGAGATGCCGAGAGCTAGCGTCCGCGACTAACTCGGACTCGACAGAGCTTCACGACGAGTCACGACTCGACAGCTTTATTAGACAGGTGAGCAAATGTACATAAAACAAATCAATGTTATATAACGTTAGCTCAACATGATGAAATGTTAGAATATGGTCAGTATGTTATTCTAATGTTGATCTAGCTGCTAGTTTTCGTATAGCAAACGAACTAACACGTAGTATAACATTATAACTTTCAACACACATTTAAATGCCGTTTAGTGTGATAGTGTAACGTTAGACCAAGTGAAGCAGCGCTGCGTTACCTCACAAGTTTAATTCCTCTAATAAACTGACCTGTGTGAGTAATCCAGCACTTGCGGGTTCGGTAGAATTAAATGTCCGTATTCCTTTATATCCGCGGGACTCACGTGTGATATCTGTCTCTTTAGCAATCGCGACTTGCTTCATACCACTGTAATGTTAAAAAACATGAATGTTTGCACTCATCCATAAACATTATTAGATCCATCAGCTTGACAGCAAGTCCCATCATTCAGCTCATCACTGCGTCATCAACCTACGCCTGTGTTATTGTTGGAAACTGCGCCCTCTTGTGGCGAAAAAAACCTACATATTGTCCCTTTAAATGAACGCTCCTCAGAGTTTATTTGATTCCACACTCAGGGGTGTTAAAAGTAACACTGAAGCAGTGTTAAAATTAATGAGATAATTAAGGGATTAATTGCG